AAAGAGAAGCAGCAGAAGGCATCGCAATGAAGGAAAGAATCGCTTCAGATGAAAACGATTAAAGCGTCGAACAAAGCGACGCCGCCGACGGCGATAGAGAGTAATTCGTTCGTTTCACCATTGTAAGCGAGTACGCGAGATTGACGAATCCGTAGCGAAAGTTTAATTAAACCCTCGGACAAGAAGGGGCCAACGTCGCTTCTACTTCGTCAACGCGAATTTCTACGTGTCCACGATTTTATGATACTTTTTACGATTCCGAATGACCGTTCCTAGAGATGGTATTCGATATGAAAGATTAAGGGCGAGGGGGATGAAAGTTGGGGCTCTTTCGCTGAATCAGCGATAGAAACTGTTATTAGACTGAGAATATTCGAGTAGATTTATAGTTTTATAAAAGGATACCCTTCTCCATTTATCAAATTCGCTAAAATTCAATCGCTCCTAAGGGTAATTAACAGTCCCCTTGTCTTTGCTCTTTGCTTTCCATCACAGTTTCTCACACAGTCGTCGATCGTGATCTGTTTACGGCTACTTTTAAACACACCAACGAGAAGTTTTAGTTAAGTGTGAAACGAACGTACAAGCCAGGGGCGTAATTAACCTCCCTCCCTGGGTTGGTCAGGTAACGAAAGAAATTACGAAATTAGTTTAACTTTCTTCTTTTTTTTTTACTCTCCTGACAGAAACACGGCTGTAATGGCCGTGTGGGAAAATCTAAAGTTTCCTTTTGACTCGTTAACACTTTTTACCAGGGCTAATTTTTCCTACTGGAAAGCAAACGGTAAGTTGGAAAAAGGGTGGAATTCATATCTCATCGAAGATGAAAACTTTCCGGTAGGCGTTTGCTTTGCATCGCGATGAAAGCAATTATTGGATCTCGGAGTTGCACTTTTATTATTTCCCTTTCTCTATTTGTCTCGTACCTCAAATTTCATATCGCGTGTTCTTAACAGGAGACTTAATTTAAACTTTTCATTCGTTTCCTTATAAGATTAATATTAAGATACTTGGGTTAAAAATTGATTAAATCAAAAAATATTTTGGGGAGAGACATTCTAATGACATTTCATTCTATCTTTTATTATTTTAGAGATATAACTTCATCTATATGCATAAATCATATTCAAATAATAATACTTGACTTAGTAATTGATTTAACAATAATTGACCCTGATTTACTTTTAAGCAAATAGTAGGATTGATTGAATAAGCTTTATCGTGAAACTTCCAATTAAAAAGAAAATTGCTCTGTTCATTAAGGTGTGACCTATAATTTTAATCAACCGTAAAGAGGGTACCTAGGTAATTGATAAAAAAGAAAAACGAAAAAAAAATCACGTACGTGCTTCTCTGTTAAGCAATAAGAATTAAACGAATTCCTGTCGCGTTCACCTGAAAAACGCTATTGATCCGAGTATCTAGCTCGCAAATAGCGCGCGTTCGATTTTATTGAACTCTAGTTCCTGGTATCGTTCGCTATATATAATCTCTGCGAGCTACGCCAAAAATCTGGGGAACGACAAAAGAAGTTTTGCTTCTTTTGTAAAGAAGGCCAGTGCACCCGCATTTTTCGACCGAGCGAAAGGGGTAATTTTTCCACGGTTTGTTTCTACGATTGCCGATACCATCCGCGGTCACAGCCTACGACGGGAATTTATCTTTCGCCCGTAACAATGCCGAGCCAGAGAGGGTAATGGAATTTTTTCATCAACCAGCTATCCCGGTGACACGGTTCCCTTAAAGCTTCCTTCATACCCCTTATCAGGACTTACCTCGACGCCGGGTGACATTCAAGAGCTACGATTTTCAGCGGTATTGCACCGCCGGGAGAAGAAATTTCATTTCGTGGCACGAAGAGAAGTTGAGAGGGAGGGGACAAAAAAAAAGGAGAGGATTTCTCATTCGTCGAGGAATCGGTATAATCGAATAGCCGCCGGCACTTTGCCGATGTGTACGCAATAGTCGCGGGAGTAAATGATCGATAAAAAAAAATGGCAAGGGAATCGAGCATTCCCTGCCAATGTTCCCTCCTCCTCCTCTGGAACAGGCTTAATGAAACGATGAAAAGATAGGATAATCAATTAATCAGTCTCTTACCTCGAGATCGATGTCGATTTCCATAAAGAACATCGGTCATCGAAACGACGGAAGTCTAATAGAAAGGGATGAAACGAACGGCTGATGCCATTAATCTATCCAAGGAATTCACTTCGATTCGTAGGTGAAAGAAAACGAATATCCTAGAGTTTTCATCGTATAACGAGGTTAATTCCTACGCGAACAAGGGGAGAAGTAATTACGTATGAATTAAACGCGTAAGCGTTTCCTCATTTCCTTCGAGGTGGATTTACTTAATGCCGCGTCTCGGCTCGGCGGTAGAGAACTTCAAATCGCGGTCGTCGTACGCGTTGACCTGAAACTTCTATAAACGACGCTTTGTCAATGCTGTTTTATATAAACCGGTGATCTCAGATAAATATCTCGAAGGGTTACGAAACACGCCATGTTTCATCGTGCTCGTCATAGCGACACATATTTCGTTTCGTCTGTTAGAAACGTCGAATATTTTAAGAGTGAAATTATAATTTAATTACTAATATTGTGATATATTTTTGATATTAAAAAGGAACGCAAGAATCAATGCCTTTTAATGATTTACAAGCTTTTTTATCAAATGACACGATTTGAGAGAGATAATGGAACTTTCATGTAACTCCGCGTCAATGATGAATGATTTATTTCATACCATCCCTCAAAGTTTCAAACATTTCGTCGTTCGAAATATCCTTTGAACTTGCTTAATACCACTAATTACAGAAAATATTTATTTTCCAAAATTCAAAGCCACGCAGCCGTGGATGCATTTTAATTTAGTTCTCTGTGTATATTCCAATATTTTTGTTAATTGACGAATAATTTGCGTTAATGGTTGTATGAAAGGTAGAAAATGGAAAGGCCAAGCGAATTTTATGCAGACGAATAAATAATCATTTCGCTGAAATTAGTTATTAAATAAACGGCGGACCATGGAGAGAGATTTCATCCAGATTTTAGAGCGCAATTCATTTTCATTTTCTCAGCTCGAAATTATTTATCCAATGTACTGGAAAATAATGAAATTCTTTTATTTCGACGTTCCATCAAATAAATTCGAGTCGTTAAATATTTATCGAGGAGAAGAGGTATCGAGAGGACCATCGAGGTATTATTCGAATTTCCTTTTCTTTACTTTCGTCAATTTCTCTTCCATAATGCATAGGTAACGAGTTTCACGTCCACTTCATGAACAGGTTCATAACATTCCACACGTTCGGTCGCCGGAATTCGAATCAGATCGGTCCCATTATATTTCCGGTTCACGTAAAATCGATGGTGGGAGCGGTACAAGCTCCCTTAGAATGACTTAGAGCCAACGACTGACCTATCCCATGTTGAACGACCTCGACGAGCTTCGAAGGCCAATGTACCATAATTTATAACTTTATCAGACGTTCCGGTTGTACCTGTACAGGGTTCTCAAAGACTATGCTCCGTGTTATTCTGTAACCAGCTTACGTTTTTCATGCGGTTAGATTAAGCGGACGCAGAGAGAAAATCGAATTTCCTGTCAATCTAATATTATTTCCGCTTCTGTTATTTCTCTGCGATCCATCAAATCGAACTCGAAATTTGTTTAACTTTCAAACTAGTAAATAGGAAATAGAAAACTATTTTCAATTCTCGAATTATTTCTATTAATATACCGTTGTAACTTCAAGATGTAATTTGAAGGCTGGTGAAATATAAATCGTTCAAAGTTTTGCCGTCATATGTGATCGAATACTGCGTTGCATTCTCACTTTTCTATTACGTGCAATAACTTTTCCAATTTCCTAATGACAGGAGAAATTGTTCAGATTCTTTTACGTTTGACTTTCGTCCTATGAGCATTTGAAAGAGTTAAGAAATAAGGAGAGTAACAATTTATCCGAGACACTTATAATGGCTCAGTAATTCCCTTACGAAGAAAGCCGTTCATTCTCTTTACCCGTTTCCATTATTTCCCTGCTACAAATTAAGAAAGTATAACAATTATCCTCGAAGCAATTTCATTTCCAACGAGCTCGTTACACTTCACAGGTTCCTTTTGTTTCCTTTCTTTTTTTCCTTCTTCCTTTCAATTATCCTTGCGAACGTTTTACCTGTTCTAACGGCGAAGGGAAAAAAGGGAAGTTCTATAAGGAAATTTCATCGGTAATTTGCGAAACGCTACGATTTTCGCGAGTATTGCCCGCGAGCTGAACGACTATTGCGCTTTGTTTCCCCGTCGTTTTCCGTTCGCACGCGGCCGATAAAAAGTTCAATATCGAGCTGAAAAACCGGTGGAACCGAGTGTGGCAACTGGTATATGCAAGTACTTTTGCACAGTGCATCGCAAAGTGCCGCGGCTTCCATTGACTTCCGGGCCGGAGTTCGAGCAGAACCGAAGTGTGCCTTCAAGATCTCGAACTGCGAAAACTTTCCTCCTCGGCCAGCTCGAAACTTCCTACAGCACGGAAATGGAAACTCCCGTTCCCTGTTTCCCAGCACATCGTCGACCCTTGTTTCCGCCTTCCCTACTATTCTCATTCTTTTCTCTTTTTCTATCAATAAATAACAGCAAACTAGAAAAGTTAATTGCTTTTTCTCGATTTTATATATTTTGCTTTCAATCGAACCTCTATCGATATTTGGTAAAATCATTTGAAAAATATTCCTGATTATTCATGGAACACGCTATAAAAGCTTCCAAATATAATTCTATCGATATAAGATCTATTTCTTGATATAAAAAGGAATCTAAATTTACTAGATCCATTAACTCCATAAAATATGCGGTTGTAAAAACGTCAACAATATCTAAATATGAAACTACAAAAAGTTATTTATACTCTGAAGAAGATAAGCGTTGCGTCATTTCTAGATTCTTTTTCTGAATTTTTATTGGATTTTGAATGTCTGATCTTTCTGGTTTGCAGGAGATTGTCAGAACGCGGAACCGCGGAATCAATTCGGCGAGAAGAAAATAGGTGATCTACGAGACGATCTGCAAACTGACGACACAGATCAGTCGTACGTGTAAGTATTCTAGATTGTCACAGTTTGAAATGTCGATAATTTTCAAATCGTAAACGATAAAACGAAAGGTTCGTCTTCGAAAAGTTAAATACCTTAAAATCGGGTACGGTAAACGTTGCGAAAACCTGCAGGATGACACTGAGAACAGTTGTCCTAGTCTCCCTTAGGAATGTGTAACTGGTGTCTACGAGAGTAGAGATAATAAGCGAACCGTCTCGTTAATTACCAAGGCCGGCTGTTATATTTGTGGAACGATGTCAATTGTTTCAAGTAAACCTAGTTTTATTTCAAAATAACATCTATCGCGAAGACAAATCGTGAAATAAAGCTTGATACATTGAAGTTTCTTTAATTAATTAAAATTTTTAATCAGACCACGAACGAAAATGTCTACCAGAAGATTTTCAAATTAATTTTCTTGAGAATATCGCAGATGCTCTAAGAAGACCTCGAAATTCTTAATCAGGGTAAGAGTAAAAATATAGGACAATCGTAGAATTTCTAATTAAGATAGAAATGAAGCCAGGAGGAAATATAACGAGCGAACTTAAAACCACTAATCGAAGATTTCTAATGGAAAATTGAAAAAGAAGCGACAGAATCTGAAATTAGAAACGCGACACTTAAAATTTTCAAGTCGATCAGGCTAATCGAGGCGAACGGTGCTCGAGGTAGGAGGACCGTTCTAGTAGAAACTTAGCAGGAGCTGCTTTTCACGGGTGAAATTTTAAAAAGGGTAACTTAAAGAGGTACACGGAGTTATGCATGCTGAAGGGAGAGTTACTGAGCGTACGAACTATAGTCTTTCCACTTTGTCGCGAGTACAAGAAAAAAAAAGGAAAGAGGAGAGAAAAAAAATGGTGGCTGTGTTATCCATTAGCTGGGATGCGTCTCTCGAGGGTAAAAAGGCGCTCGATGAGAGCGGCAGCTCTCTCTCGTCTCGTAACGCAGCAGAGGTGCCGGAGACGGAAGCGGAAACGTCGCCTCGGGCAGACGGAAATAGGGACAAGGCACTCCTTCCACCAGAAGGTGCTTCCAACTCGTCCCTTTGGTCGGCTTTGAATGTCAGTGAGTAAAAATGTTTGCTTTTCAAATCAAACCGAAAGTGTCCCTCGCTTACTCTACTTAATTTTCAGTGAAAAACAAAATTTTCATTGTTTTAAAAAACAAAAGCAAGCTATTTAGGGATATAAAATAGATACATCTGTCAGATAGAAATGATTATAAGGTGTAGAATCTAATATCTCGACAGGTGTATAATTATTTCTAATTCATATTCGACAGTGTTCTGTACTGCAAAATTATCCCTCTTCAAAGTATAATCCATACAGGATACAGTGAATAGAAATAAAGACCCTGAAATTACACTTCAAAGTGTTAATAAAGTTTACCTATTTTCACATGATTTCACTGCCAACGGAAGTTGCTTTAATTTTACATACCAAAAAACAGTAGCTTATCTTACGATTTAATTTAACACAGCTATCAAAGGAACCTAAGAACGCGTTAATCAGTGCATGACAAAGTATCATTCACTGTTTTACAAGCTGACAGATCTGGAAATGAACTGTAATAATATTACAATTTATAGAAACAATTATCTTTACCTCATTCGTTTTGTAAATAATCTCACGCGAACGTAGGATAATTTACACTTCTCAGAATTTCTTCTTAACTGACACTTTTAGCATCTATAGAAGACAAGATGATTACAAGTTTCCAACTTGTCAATTTAAAAGAAAACCTGCTCAGCTGCATAGAGCCGTTCGCCAATGACATAGTAGTCGATAGAAGAGAAGAAAAATTTCAAGAATGCGCGATATTTAATTGAATTTTCCCGAACATTTTCCAGCATCGACGTCGACGAACCGGCGAAGGGTAGACACGAGCGATCGCAGCCGAAAGAAACGTCGCAGGAACAAAGAATCGAAGAGTTCCGTAACGAGTCGTCAACGCGAGACCGGCGAAGACGTTCGCGAGAACGAGATCCGTGGAAAACGAGGCGGACCAGCGAAAAATTCGAAGGATTCTCCGGCTCGAAGGTATCGCGCGGAGCGACGGAGGAGGAGGAAGAATCGCGAGCGAAAGCGTGGGAGGAAAAGAGGTAGGACAAACGGGGATCGAGACGGTCGTAGGAATTCCAAGTTCAAGAGAAGAATGAACGATGCACCGGCCGCTCTGATGCTCGGCAAGATCGAGGACAACGTTTCCGGTTACAACGACACGTCGGACGTGATCTGGCGCGACAACCAACAGGCACCTTCGAACGGGACCTATCTCGATCTCGCCGGTGTAACCTCGTCGAATCTGCAGGATCAACTAACCACCGAATCATCGAAGCGATCCACGCAGACGACCTCGCGTTACAGGGGTCACGAGGACACCGTGGAGAGGGAATTCTCGAAGCAACTGGAGAAGGAGATCTCCCGCGCTCAAATGGAGGATCCAGCCAGCTTGGAGAACCGTATCCTCGGCAGCTCGGTGTCCCAAGGATACAAGGACGATCGCAAACAGGCCATCTACAACAACGAAGTTCACTTCGCTAGCCCGAGATACGATGCCGATAAAATGTTAGGTTACTCGAGAACCGAGGAGGACCTTCCAATCCTGGACCTCGAGAACGAGGTGTTGGCGAGAACCCTGAAGGATTACAACGCGTACATGACGTCGAGTATGAAGTTATCGATGCTGCCGCGACGCGATCAAAACGAGCCCCGCAAAATTGCCGGATCGCATTTTCACGGTAAACCCATAATCGAGGAAACCGAGGCGGTGAGGTACGGAAAGAAGAGCACGGAAACAGCGAGCACCACCGAAGCGTACGACGACGATACGAAGGGAGATTTATCGTGCATAAATGGAACGTTCGTGCCTGCACCCCTTACGAGGCATGCGCTGATCAAATATGTAAAGTAAGTGCTTTTTCTTATGAATTATTCAACTCATCCTTTCTATAGAATTGGTTACCTTGGAGTTAAATGAAGATCTCCGCTTGTGAAGTTGAGTTGTTTGGTGACCACTGATTGAGACTGTAAAATCATTTGATAAGTAATTAAACAGTTTGATAATAGGACTTCTATTTCTTTAGTACCTTGGGTTGAAATTATCAATCAATCTTGTGAACTTTGCTGGAAATCCTTGTTCGTCTTCTCCTTCGAGGACTAAAACGTTTCTAATAGCCATTCTCGGGAGCGAAAAGTCGTTTCGAAAGTCCTCCTCTCTTAGGCTGTTCTTTAATTCGAGCACATGGCTGCGTAGCAAATGCGTCAACCTATTCCACCCCCGTTTCGTTAGAAAACTGAATTACTGGGACAAGTTCGTAGCTGGGATTGCAGGGGAACCGGAAAACTTTTCGATCGAAACGCCGGAACTTTTCAATGCTTCGACGTGCCGGAATTACCTGGCGCCGCTATAAAATATAGAGATCGAAGAAGTAAAAGGGTGCGCGAGTGTAAATGGCAAATAAATCTTGACGGGGAGCAAATATTGAATCAAAGGGATGAAGAACAAGGGAGGGAAAATACTTTTGCGTGAGAAGGATATCGGGATTGAGATTAAAAAGGAAACGATAGCAACCGGTACACCAGTTAATTCCGCGTTACATAATTCCTTTTGATGTAAATTGATCCAAGAAGCATCGAATGCATTTCGTAAGCTTCCTTTTCCGTAGGCTTATAAATTAATTCCAGCCAAATCATAAATCTTTCCTTCGAGTTTACATTATCTTGATGGGAAAGTATCGATCAGTTATCTTTCGTCCGCCACCTGCGCAAGCTCCTTCGGGGGTGAGTGGTAAACCATCAACAAATTAATTCCTACGATCGTTGCGCTTTTTACCCCTGCTAAATCATCGTCTACGTCTTCGTTGTTAAATGCGGGACTAAAATAATCGTTTGTACAATTTTGGATAGTTGCGAATTAATGTCTTTTCAAGGTCCTCAATACCTGGCCACGAATACCTGGAAGCTGACTATGAATGCGCTCCAGGATTCTACATGACGAGCACAACGAGCAGGTTGCTTTGCAGAAATCGTCAATGGGTAGGAGAGTTGCCAAAGTGTAAGGTCAAGGAGAATTTCGACGGGGTGTGTGCGGAAGCTTTCTGCGACCACGTTTGCAAGGAAGTCGACGGAAGACCAGTGTGTTCCTGTTACAAAGGATTCCGGTTAGAAGGCGATAAATGTGTTGGTAAGACGGATTCATTACCTTAATGTCCGCAAATCTTCAAACTAATTATTTAAACACAAATTTAAACGCAAATTTTTATTCAATATTTAAAAAATTAAGTTTAAGTTTGAGTTTATAATTTGTCTGATCTATACTTTTTTTTTCAAGTATCTTATATTTATTTTGAAATTAGAGATTCTAATTTTTACTCTATCAGTCTTGAAATCCATCGGGTGTCTTCAACGTTGATCGACGACGATCTGATCGAATAGTTAGCGATTTCCTAAGTCCATTACCTTCTTCTCCGCTATCGAAACGAATACTAAAACGGCGGAACATTTCACTTGGTGGAAGGAGAGCCGTCAAAGAGATAGAAAAGAAATTTCTCGAGATGAAATATCGACAGGACACTCGTTGAGTTATCGACAGGTTCCGTGTTCTGCGATCGACAAGTCCTTCCTGCTCGTATTAAAACATCAACGATTTCGTTTCAGACATTTCTCTCCTCTTTCTTGCTCTCACGCATAGTTGTTCGTTCTTTTTCCCATAAAAAATCGAGGACTCTGTGAAACTTTATTTCAAAGTTCGTTCGTACGTTTCCCAGCGAAAAAGGGCGCTTCAACTTTTTATTTCACTTTCTCGTCTCTCCGCGTTTAAAGCAACGATTCGATTCCGTTTCAGAGAGAAAAACATTCGCCTCTATATATCTCGGCCCTTCGATATTGCTCGCATCATAATTAATTTTCGAGCTTCGTTAATTTGATCGAGCCGATGGGGGAGGGGAAAGTAGTCGGAATCAAATGAAAATGAAAAATTAAATTAAATTCCGTTGGCTGGAGAAGATAGAAATGCAATAAACTCTCGTTAATCCAAACAGATTGAAAGGACAGGTAATTCGGATTTGTTGAAAAGCCGGCTTTAAATGAAAATCCAACCAAGTGAACTTCTATTTTATTTCAGAAAATGTATGATATATGAGGGCAAAGTTTTTCCTAATTCACTGGAAGAACAAGTAGTATCAGTTGAATCAAAATTCGAAGCAACGAAACCTTTCAATATATTTTCAAAAATTCAAGTTATCCTCTGTGTAATGAAAAAAAATAATTAGAAATTATTCTTCCGATATCTAAGAATCTTGTTTCAAAATTTTCCTCGATGCACTGTTGCATAAATTTCGTGGTTCTGAGTCACGATTAATCCACCTATCATTCTTCATAAGTTAACACGGATCGTTACATAATATCATAGGGTAGTTTCTAGTGGTATATCCGTGACATCATTTATATGATAGTAATGGGGTGAGAAATGTAACGAAAGTTAGCTAAATTCAGTGAATTACACGTATTCGTTGAAATGCAGATGTGAACGAATGCAAGGATAACAGGGGAGGTTGCCAGTTTAAGTGTATGAACAGCCCAGGATCCTTTCGTTGTGTGTGCCCAAAGGGGATGGAACTAAACGAGGACCGATTCACGTGCAGGGGTGAGTGATTTGTACTCGAACGTGCATATATACTTGATCGTGCAAACAGTTTGCCCTATTGCAAAAAGCAACAAGTGTAAATACAATGGCGAACCTACTGTTTCCTTGATATAACTAACCCCCTAAAGTTTCATTCCAGATTATTTCTCAATTATATTATTTATTTCACTGATTTTAATTCTTCTTTATTTGTTAAAACTTATTTATTTTCCTACGAAGCTTGTATCTTTTTCAATTACACCGAATAACTGGGTAAAATTGAAATTGAATTACTCCACACCGTATGTGTGCTCATTATTCAGACATCAACGAGTGTCTGTTAAACAACGGACACGGCCCTTGTCAGGATACCTGCCGGAACACTATAGGCGGCTACGAATGTTCCTGTGATGGTCTACAGGACTCTGTCCTGTCAGCTGACAACCACACGTGTCAAGGTGCAGGCCCGTGTAGCATCAACAACGCAGGATGCTCCCATACCTGTCTGTCAACCAAGGGTCGAGTATTTTGTCTCTGTCCGGACGGGTTCATCTTGAAAGACGATTGGAAAACGTGCCAAGGTAAAGGCGAATTTACGCTTTACATTTTAGACTTTTTATACTTTATATGGCAACTATTAGGAATATTTCATTTAAACGTGGGTTCAACCACCCCCTCATTTGGGCTACGTATGGCAACTATTAGAAATACCAAATTCAAGCGTGGGCTTAACCACCCTCACTTCAGCCACGTATGGCAATTAGAAATGCCAAATTTAGGCGTGGGCTCAACCACCCCCACTTCAGCCACGTATGGCAACTGTTAGGAATACCTAACATAGGAATGCATCATTCCTTCCGAATTAAGACTTAATAGGGTAACGATTAGGTTTGCACATTAGTCTTTAGGCATGCCTAACTGAAATTCTAGTCGGGAATGTATATGCAGCTTAATAAGAATTACGATGTCTATTTTTCAGACGTGGACGAATGTGTGCAGCCGGATCTGCAAACGGAAATGTGTCGTTACGGTTGCATCAACACACCAGGATCGTACCGATGCGCGGAACCAATGGAGTTGAAGGATCAACCTATACTGGACAGCTTGTCCATCACATGCCTACCAGGTTACGAGGCTACCCCCGATGGAACTTGTATCGGTAAGTGGTTTAATCCGTATGAGCGATTTACCAGGAAGTTGGGTTTGTTGTTTAAGCCTCGGGCCGGATGCTTCTTGCCTCGAATATCCTCTTTAAGCTAGATCAGCTCCTTTCAGAAGTCTCTACATATTTTAAAGTAGACACGTTACGAGTCAAGCTTTCAAGCTTTCATTTGTAAAAAGAGAGGAGAAGTAAAAATATATCATCTTCGTAGTAATCCTTATCTAGCCAAAGCAAGTCCAATGGAGTCACACATTTAATTTTCAAACGTATAGCTTTTAAATTGCCAAAAAATTGGAGCAATCCCATTTGAAAATCAAATATTTCCATCGAATATCGCAACGAGGATAACAAGGATATGTTTTCTTCGGGCATGGTAATTGCATTTGTAGTTCATTTCGAAAACGTCGATTCGATGGCTAGTACGATAACAATTCCCCATAGGGAGATGAGGGTCCTAACGAGATTCAAGCTGCTGCTCCTAGTCGTGCTCCATAACAGAGCTTTAGACGATCCTGGTAGGTAATCGAATTAGCCTGCACATGAATCCGGTCGATAGGCTTCTCCACTGCAATATCGGATCAAGATTCTGGATCATCAGCGTTCGGAAAACTGTCCGAACTAATAGCATCGTGGATAGTTTGATATATTTTCCATTAGTTTCGCCGCTTCTGCCCATTAAATGTCGATGATGTTTGTTTAAGACGTCTTGGAAATTTCTGCGAACGTCCTTTCATTCGAGATAGAATTCGGTAGATTTGTGTAATTCCTTTGAATTACTCGAGAATAAGCAGACTCGAGAATGGAATAGAATAGGATTTTATGCGATGAAACAATGGGGAATACTGGAGAGGATTTATTCCGAATGCAGAAGCGACGTCACCGGTTATTTAACTTAATAATTTGAATGATTTCAAATAATAGTTAGACTTTTTAAAATAGTACTGTACTGCCTTCTTCTTATCGATCGAGGTTATTAGAGACTGTTATTTCCTGATTAGCGCTTTCATAGTAAGACGAGCGTACTAACAAGACTTCATTTCCGCTCTCGCTGGCCTTCGCAACACCTTCGAGAGTGATTGGAACGGGCAATCGAGTTATAGTAGGAAATTGGTTTCTTGAATCAATACCAATGCATTGTGAAACGATTAGCGATTTATCGATGTTACGCTTTGAGGCTCGAAACTTTGCATAAGAGATCAGTCGAAGATGGAGAACGTGGTAGATCTTTACTTTGCCAAGATACACTTTTCTCCCAAGCGTTTCGTTGAAAAACGATCGTATCTCAAACACGGATACGAAAAAATGGACAATTTCTTGCGAGCGATAAGAAAGACCACGATAAAAGACTTTCATGAAACTAATTCGGAATTTCTTGCCCGTGAACCGAGACTTTACGATGTCTTCCACGTATTCTGCTTTTCCCTTCATCCAGAAACTCTCTAACTGAAAGAACCAGCGCGATCCGTTCTTTTTCCTTTTTCTTTTTTTTATCTTTCTCTCCCTTCTTACTCATTCGCAAAACACTTTCGAACTTAATCCTCGTTGATGAAAGTTCCCTGCTAAAAGTTTCAGCAAACCAACATTACAGTTCATCCGAACGACGGGCGATTCCTCGAACTTTGAATCGTTTAGGACCGTTCCCGTTCAAAGCCGTTGCCTCTACAAGCTACAGTTTTACATTGAAACTTTCATCGTCGATAGAAAATTGTTCGGAAGCTCGTTTATTTGTTACGGTATATTCTGTGCGCCATAAACCACTCTGGGAAAGTGAGAAACCATAAATGTACAGCGTCGAGCATGGTGGGCTTTCGTATGGAAAATTGTATAGAGAAAAAAGACCATCTGAAAACATTGAATTTTGAAATTTATATCTCGAAATCTATTACATCAATTTTTCCCAAATTAATCTTAATACGAATATCTTGAAAATTTATTTCGAGATTCAGTCACGATTTATCGCACTAATTTCTCTTCGAATAATTTTAGAAAAAGAAAGGTAAAGCCAAGCGAGTGGAAAGTAAGTGGAAGTATCATTTCTATTTCCTTTGACCCGGATAAACTTCTAACAAGCCCTCTCGAACTTTTTCTAGCGTTAGCAAGTTTTTCCGACGACCTTGTTCCACGAAATCCTAGGAAAACTGTAATTTCTCTTCGTATATTTTCGCGGTGTTCGAATTGAAAAGCCAATTGAAAACGTTCCTTTGACATATATCGTTATGCAAAATACATGTTTATTCCGCTACGATTTTCTTCTCTAATGAAATAGCTTGCTGACGTTACATTTGACGCACGATTTGCCGAAATTAATGTCACCCGTTCAATTTTCCAGCCAACAAATCAAACGAATCCGTACGACGTGATCGATGAAACGTATCAAAATATACAGACGATTAATTTTCGTGGCTGGCCCGATATATTTGATATTGGTAAACACGATGAATTATATATACACGTCATTACAACTGCCGCAACAACGAGGAATTTTATATTTATTTAGACTACAAGCCACAAATATGGGTTAACGTAATTGGGTACTTTCTAATTAAACGAAGAGTACTCATTACGAGGTGGATCTGTGCAAATACGATACGAGTGCATCTAATTTTATTCAAATTCTTAGAGAAGAAAAAAAATTGTTCCTCCAATTAAATCCTGTTACCCTTTTATTTTTATTATTCATAGTATCGTATCCTTGATCCACTAAACAATCCCAACACTCTTACTTCGTATATTAGATAGAAAATTAATTAATAAATCCCTGTCGACATTTTATCTTACCTCTTGTTCGAGGACAAAAGGAAATGCCAACGGCAAAAATCGGTCTGCCCTGTATCGATTGGACAGAGAATCGTCCGTAGGAGACGGCAGTACACGAGAAAGGATGTTCCTCCGGTCTGTCTGCATTCTATTCGAGTGTCATTATCACGCGTTGTACGGCGTATCGCGTCTGTAGGTCGTGAAAGCGACGGAAGTCGAGCACTCTTGGCGGTCATTGAAAGTGCTCGAGGCAATCGCAATCTGGCCGACCCTTGTACGTCTATTTCGGTCAATTTAACGCCATCGCGTGGACAATTGACCGGTCAGCCGAGTGTTGGGCAAAAGAATGCAGGATGCTTCACGAGAAGTCGTTACACGCGAATGAAAGAGGCATCCCGTCGTTTTTGACCCGATCGTAGCTTGAGGTCAGACTCTTTATCTAACCACGCGTCGTAACCGATCGAAACTAATCGATACAAGACTTGAAAATAAAGAAAAATATCCCTGAAAATCCCTTTTCTAATTTCCTCGACCATGCAACCCGTTCAAATGCACCGACTCGAATTCATTTTCTTCGATTCACGATTTGTAAGCGAAGCACGGTCACAGCTGAAAATTGCATAAATCAAAGAGTAATCGATCGAAACTAATCGATACAAGACTTGAAAATAAAGAAAAATATCCCTGAAAATCCCTTTTCTAATTTCCTCGACCATGCAACCCGTTCAAATGCACCGACTCGAATTCATTTTCTTCGATTCACGGTTTGTAAGCGAAGCACGGTCACAGCTGAAAATTGCATAAATCGTGGTCGTTGAAAGGAGCATCCTCTCGAGTATTTAACGTCCGTTTCTTACGCGGAAAAGTAATCGAGTACGTTTCATCTGTGTGCAGATATCAACGAGTGCACCGTCGACAACGGTGGATGCACCGAGGTATGCGAGAACACCGACGGCAGTTTCTTCTGCGCTTGCGACGGTGATGAAAAAGCTTTGTCATCCGACGGGAAGTCGTGCGTGGGTAAGTTCTCGTTGTCAGGATAACGTTATCCTTCTTCACAGGATCATAGATCATTCGCGAGTCCGACGAACGCAATATGTCTCCGAGCGAGGGAAATTCCTCGAGTACATTGCAATAATGTTATCATCATGGACGCACGCTTACTGGTACAACAGTTTCCCAAGCTTTTTTGCGATTAATACTTACACGCGTGAGTAATGGGTCCCCTTTATTACGCCGTATCCACGGGACAACGATAAATTCCTCTCTGTTTCTTACATTTGGATTAATTTACCGCTGGGATGCTTTCGCGTTTTGCGCGATTCAACGTTTCTTATTCGTGGGACACTTTTTTATTCCCTTTCGTCGAAGGAATTATTGCTCCGTTACTGATTATTGTGCGGTGTATATGAATAATTTATCAGATACTTGGATTTAAGGATAAATAATTCTTTGAAGGAAAAATAAATAGAAAGTAGAGAATAACAAGTGTTTGTTTGGAATGAAAATTAAAAATTTTTTATCAATTTGTAATTTATCGTTGAATCTCAAATTGCAGTTCAGAGAGAATTGATGCATATTCATATAATTGTGATTTCAATTAAGGATCCATGTTATCTTTAACGCGATCAAGATTAATCTGATATGCAAAATCGAAGGTCGAAACATCGTTTCCGCGTGAATCGCGTCTGTATCGTTGGATTTGGAAATTTAAGCACCGGATATTATTCCCGTTTTATTTCCACGGTTGTTGGAATTTTTGTTGGACGAGTTTGCCTCTCGTTTGCATAAACTTATCGGGCAATAAGGAAGACACAAGAAGTTTCAGCGTGAAATTTGCATTGCACCGGAACACCCTAACGTTTTACAAGTTTCTCGGGGAATATGAAATCAAGTGACCCAGATTGCGATTGTTTGCACAGTTATGTCGATTCAAAACCCAAGTACACATTTTCCGACGAACCGATAATTGCCGAATTCCATTAAATTATCGAGGACGGTAGTTTTCGATGCAAGAACCGGATGGGCCAAGTAAAACGGTGAATATTTATGGCGGTGAAAATTTGTATCCGATAAATTTATATCAAAAGTAAATTGCGTTCAATATCTCGCTGATCTTGTTACGCACAGGTATTATATTTTAACGTAAATAAATTATTTTCAGATTTCGAAACTTTAATCATTTGAAAATTTTAACTCTTCGCTGTATAATTTCTTCTTTAAGTGAAAGAGAAGATGCAACTTCTTTGAGGGATAAATAAAAAAATTATTCGATAAAGATGAAGAAAGGAACCGTAAGAATAGACACAAATATCTCTGTGGAAAGGAAAATAGAAGATTGGAAATCTGTAACACTCGATACTAACGATTACATGGAGTATCCGTAGATACAGAAGATCCTAGGCTAGCAGAGCTTAGTATTCCAATCACGTGAACACGATAGATACGTGGAATACAATGGAGAATTTGAACTGGTGACCTCCTGGAACTCGATAGGGATGATCATGGATCAGCACGATCCGATAGGTGCTGCTTCGAAATCGTTAGATCTGATACAAGATACATCACATTTGCAGTTGATAACACCGATCCTGAACTTATTGAAATTAGCATAGATTACTATAGAAATTACTATAGAAAATATCCATCTAATTAGAAGCATTGATGGATAATAGATAGAAAAAAAATTTTGAAACCTCCAAAAAGTCAGTGGGTTAAATCGTTATCTTTTTATTTACCTTGCTGAAATGATAGTAATTTTTTTTACTTGAAAGATTTCATACAAAATATTTTTAAAGATTTATTCGATCATACCGGATTTAGTTTCCAGAGATCTAGTATCGTATTCGCTAAATTGGAAAACTCCTATTTTATCGTAAAGATACTAGATACACTATATCGTATAGAGATCTATACCCTATATCACAGGTGTCAGTGATTTTTGGTTCCCTGTTCCGCGAAATCCCGTTATCATCGATATCGCGTGTTACTGCTACGTGATGATCTTTATCGAATCCTACCAAACAGAGATAATCTGTGGCGTGTCCTTTGAGTTTCAACTCTGATCTATATCAGTTTCAATACGTTAGTACGTTTCACAAGGGTGCATGAAAGTTTGAAACGAGATATTGGAATTGGATGCATACTTTCGAAGTTGCAAACTTAATTTGAACGTAGAATTTCAGGAAACACTGTTCGTTGTAAAATTGCAATTCCATGATCAACAGACATTATTTTCGAAATTATTTTTTCAAATAATTCAGCCGTATTGTTAGAAATCCTGTAACGAAGTTTAGTGGAGAATTTAACGAGAGCAAATAGGGGTTGGTCGTCGCGTCGCGACGCGTCGATATTTGCGGCGTCATGCAAAACCGTCACGGGGCTGATTCTCACGGATGCGGCAGCATCGATACGGTATTCTCCGTGTCGTCATTAGCATCTGCGATTCATATATTACGCAGATATCATGGATAATGCGAGTCAGCATCACGAACGACAATGGTGTTTGGTCGACGTTACGGATTTCAGATTACGCCCGAGCGTATCGACGCCTCGATTGTCACCGGATACGAAGACAGACGATTAACGGTAACAGAGAAGTATCCGAGGATCTATCCTAGCTAATTGTAATCGGATTAAAGGATTCGCGAGATCGATTCTCCGTTGCAAGGATCAGAAACCGTAGGATGTTGAAATCATAAGCGCTATACGATAGCATGTATTTATAAATACCATTAAACTGTGGATGTTGCTAAATATTTTCTCTCCTTGGTTGATTTAGAATTTTTCTACACGCTTCTTTTTTAGACATAAACAACGTGTCTTGTCCACCATTGAATCCCGAGGGCCGCGGCTATTTAATGTGTTCCCGTATGGCTTCGCCGAAACCATGGAGAGGTAGACGAAGAGTGGCCAATCGACCAGGTACCAAGTGTTTCTTAAAGTGTCCCCATGGGTATCAACTTCACGGGGAATACGAATTGAGTTGTCGATCCGATGGCTCTTGGGACGGGCCTAAGCACGGGGAATGTGTCAGTAAGTAGAACTCTTCGAATATTATTTCAATTAAATATTTTCAAAATTTTCAAAATTTCCAATACCATCGTCGACAACTACCATTTTAAGAATTTTTTTTAGAAAATTTGGAAGAATATTCTTCGATCCCTATTATTTACATCCTGATATTCTTTCAACCCAAACGAAAAGAAGAAGAAGAAGAAATGAAAGCTGTGAACGTATTTTGTTTCAGGGTACAGCAAGCCTCGTTTGGAGTGTCCTAAAGATGTGATAGCAGAGTTATCACCTGGACAAGACGAGGCCTTCGTCACGTTCGATCAACCATCCACCGATCTCGATTGGTTCCGATACGTCCGATCGAAACCATCCTGGGGTACCAGATTAGAAGCGAACCTAACACCCGGAGTTCACGAGATCCAATTCTTCGCGAGACACCCCGTATCGAAGAAACAGACCAGCTGCGTGTTACGCATCATCGTCAAAGGTGATTAATTAACGCACGTGCATGAAATCAATGCATGACGTGTAAACTTCGAAATGATAATCGCAATTGATCATCAAACGACGCTATTAATCAACGGGTAAGCCCGCTCCTCCGTAGGTTCTCCTATCGGATCACGGGATCGTGAATGATTAATTTTCTCTAAAGGACTGTTTCAAACTCTCTTCGCAAGAAGTTCTTCCTTCCTTTGAAGAAAAAATAACAGATATCGCGTTGGAATATTGTAATTTTTTAGATTTTTCGTCGAGATTTAAATCGTCTTTTAATGGACGCGTTTAGTAATGTCTCGGCTAATGGCTACTTTCGAAGGAAAAGCACGTAATGATTCGCTAAGTCGTGAGAAAATGCGAGCGAACGGGTTATTTCGAGTAAATAAGCTTTCAATCGGAAATACGTGATACGAGTACCATCGTCGCGACGATACGGATTCTATGGATTTTTCTATAAAATGGAAAAAGTTTATTCGTTTCGACTTCGACGGTAGTGAAGGTGATAATTTCTTAATTTTTCAAGTTGACTATTTTGAATATTTTTCGGCGAAATGTTAGCAAAGTCCAAGGTAGAATGCACTTACCTCGAAGTCAGAGAGAATCGTCTTACGGGAATTTCGCAGTTTGGTTCAAAGAAGTTCTCTTCGTCTTCCGGAATCCTAGCCGACGCTTTAATTAAATGCGTTTCCGGGATAAGGCTCGCCACAATGCCGTATAATCTACGGATCGCTGCTCTTCACCCTGTGGATTAGATTAGCCGATGAATCCTACTGGATGCTCGACTGATTCTCCTCGGTGATCGCTAAACCACTTGCGGTCTAATTAAACCTGTTTGTTTATACCTTGTCGCAGTTTTTCTTTTGCAACGGGGTAACCTGAAATTCGTGTGTGTTTTAAACCGGTGTGCGAAATTGGTCAACAAATTCGGGATTAAAGGACAGAAGTTGTAAAGTGGAAGGTAATTAAAGGTCTGTTCATTCAAATGAGTTACCTTAAATACAGAAGGTCAGGGTGTTTAAAACGAAGTCGTTTGAATCTATTCGGTTCAACATACATTCTCGTTCGACAGTTCAAATTTCATGAAAACTGAAAAAAAAAAAAAAAAATTAAATTGTATGTGTTCAATTGAATTATTCGTCCTGAACGGAATAACTGCAATTTCTCTGTGCACAATTACGTAGGTGATTCCACTCTTTCCTCTAGCTATTAATTAATATCGATTTTCCATACATTACAGACAAATAATTATAATAATTATTCTCCTGGGGGCTTCGATGTAATACGTAATTCGGAAGGTATTTCAAACGATATTCGATTCGTGAAACGTGATTCTGATAACTTCATTTAACAAACTTCGATCAATGATATAACGATTCAGATTAATGATATACAATAAAAGGGAACTTTTTTTTTTCTGTTCCAGGGGGTGAAGCCCCAAAAGTGAAAGACTGTCCGAACGACATAGAGGTCAGCGGGAAAAATGGGACAGCGATCACGTGGAACGAGCCAATATTCACGGATAATGTAAAGGTGACCCGGATTAGAAGCAACGAGGTCAGTGTTAATTATAAACCACTTAATTTCTTAACGATCTTCGATCATATTGCGATCGTCGAATGTGTGTCACGTTCGTATAACTCGTTAATAGACTTTGGACTTGGACCGTTTAATTTCTCTGCCTCGAATCATAGACGGGACGATTGTTCGAATATTTCAGAGTCCAGGACGACGTTTCGACGTAGGTGGGCACAGAATAGAGTACGAGGCCAGCGACGAAGCTGGATGGTCGAGCAAGTGTGTGTTCACCGTTGTTCTTCGTCAAGAATGAACGGTGCCAGGAGGGAGAGCGTGAGAAGGGCAAGGAGGTAGAGGATAAACCACGATGAAGAAGGAATCCAGGTAAATGCGAAGGAAGAGGGGTTAAGGTAGCGGGCCAGAAGAATGACGATAAGGTAATATAAATGGAAATGCTTTGGAGTCGCGTGTAATGGATCCCGGTTTATCCGGGAAGTTAAACGAAACGAGACACGGCTGCACAGGTGGCTGCATGTATTTCAGTGTAAATATTGTTTGCACTTGTTTTGAGATCACAGAGGTGGTTGAAGATCGTTCTTACAATTTGTTGTTGCCATCTTTCTCTATTCCAGGATTATTAATAAACCTATGAATAAATTTTGGAAGAGAAAATTAATATTAAAATACATATAGAATGGTAGAAATTTGTTTTTTAAGCTCACTTTAAGTCATCGTTGTTTCTTTAACCCTCAGACGGCGGACCATGTAGAGAGACCCAATTTTAATTTAATTTTCTGTTTCATATTACCTTCATTTTCTAAATGTCACACGGTTCCTTTAAAAATTCTTCCAAATATGAAACTGTTTCGTTTAAAAATTCAGCTTTAAGATTAATATCCTTGTTCGGTCGGGTCTCGATTGACCCAGATTTCACTGTTCAAGGGTTAAAACGAAATTAAATATTTTTTCTCATTTTCTCGCTCTCTCTCTCTCTCTCATGCAATAACGCGTCCACGAAGCCGTGTAAGCGGCCGCAATGCGTATTCCGCGTCTCGTCGATCTTCCAGCAGCGGATTTTTCGCGGCTCCAACGATCTACAAGTATCCCCGCGTTTTCCGCCTCATATTTCTTCGCTGCTCCACCGTATCCTGGCCCACGCAAGGTGTACCTCGCAGCTAGCCACGCGGATTTATCCTGCCCTCGATCCACCGTACCATCGCGATCAACACGACGCCGAAAAGATGCAGAGAATTTCCGGAAATTACGCTCGAGCTGCGCTTTCTGAAATTACCAGTGCAATTTCATTCGCGACCCCAAAAAATGAGAAAATTTATTTCTGTTCCTCTAGAGCGAACAAACGACAAATTTTCTTCGTTCTAAACGCAATAATTTTTCGAGGAAATTAACTCGCAATCAGCGGCGAAAGGGTTAATCTCCCGCGAGTCAGCGCGGATCGAAAATCTGTCGGAAGGTTGTATGCAAATTTTCGAATCGGCGAGCTGTGTCGTGCATCGAACGAATTTCGACGATTACCTTGCGTTGCATGTAACGAAAAAAAAAAAGACGTATCATTTGCATGCATTGTAGCGAGCGTGGATTTTGCGTTCGTTTCTTTTCACGGTAGAACAGCTGCGTTTCGAAACGAGGCTCGATTCGATTCGACGAAGCTGAATGTTCGATCGACGATTAACCCTTCCGATCGGACCGATAGAAATTTTCTTACTTTTCAAATTATAATGGAAAAAAGGATTCGTTAATAGCTTTTTCTAGAAATGAATTCTCCGCGTTCTTTTAACGCCTCTACTTTTCAATAAACTTGGAGTATTTTATAATTGGAAATTTCGACGGTGTGAACAGAAGCGCCGGTTTCGAAGGGTTTGAATTTGCTTGTCGAAAGGGAGGATGTACACCGGGTTTAACGAAACTGGTCACGATTAATTTCGAAACTAGACGCTTCAGCGAGCCAGGTTTTGCAATCGACAGCCAGAACAACTGACAGTTTTGATTCTGCACGGAACCGTGTAAAGGCCGGTGGATCGAGAACCGAACGGATTTCCGGAAATTACAAAGTTCGTGATAGGGTATCCAAAAAAAAAAAAAAAAGAATAGAAAAAATTGTGCGTTTCATTAATTAAGATGTCTTTTCCAATCACATTTCATTTGGGATTTTTAAGTGTCTAAGAAATAAAAAATCATCGTTTCAAACGCGTTAAAAATATTTTTGATAGTTATTTCACGATGGACGATTAACCCTCGAATCCAAAAAATGTTATACTCTTTTTCATTTTATCAGAACACGTGGTACTACGTTCAAGTTTCATTGATGAGCAACAAACTTGATATTTGCTATTTATTTCAATGGAATTATTTAATTATCCTTCGATCGTATCTCACATTTATCAACGCCTATTGTATAAAATATATCTAAACTATTAAATAGAAAATGTTTGTAACGTTTGATTTTTCGAATAACCATAACTAACGATTTCACACTCTCTCCATTAAAATATTCCATCTTGTAAACTATACTTATACTTTTCAAGCTTCCATGATTACTGAATATGTATCTATAATAAAGAATGATCAATTAATGGCCTATAAATTTCAATTTAAATAGAAGTTGATTATTTTCTACCAACTATCGCGATTATTTTTTTACATCAAATTATTAGAGTGGTCTTGATTAATAACGAGGCAACCTTCTGTGAAATTATTTCTTAACAATTATAGAGACAATGTAATCTAGTTAAACGTAATTAGAGGTCATCAAAAGTTTGTGATACCTTCGATTCTACCGATAAGCGTTGTTCACCGTCATTTTTCTAGAAACAAAGCGAGTAATATGGTTTATTCATTTCGATGGTGAAAATGTGCCGACAATTACGGAGCCTGAAATGTTGGATCTGTTTACTCGAAACATGTTGCATTAACATAAGTGGTATGATGTAGTTTCCAGATCCCTGCTTTCTCGAATAACATTGTCGCAAAGCTATCACGAAGATGTTCAACAACAATGTTTCTAGATAACGGACTATTAACATTTCGACTAGAATTTGCTTTCACTGAAAATACCTCCACTTTCAATAAATTTAATTCTATTAGAGAAAATAAATATTGCATCTTCAAATGGAAACAATGCGCATGCACCTTTTTGTGTCGTTTAATACGAGACTTTGATGGCTCCGTAATCGAGGCCCGGTGGCAGGACAACAGTGGCAGTAACAATAAGAAAATACATAGATAGTTTTAAGGGAGATAAAAAGATAAGATACCGAGACACCGATCTAGCGTAAGCGAAGTTTCGTTTATTATTTATTAATATCCCTCCACGCCACTCGCATATCATTGTTAAAAAATAACGTTCGATTGCCATCGTAACGGTATTACAATAAATGTATAAAAATTTATGTATCAAATACATGTATGTATATATATGTATATTACAAAGAACAAGAAGGATAGAGAAAAAGAAAAGGAAGAATAGAATACCTGAATTCCTCTTCTATGAGCTCCTTCGAATAAGCTCGATCGAAAGGCAGTATTGTGAATGGCAGTTTGTTGTAATGGCAGTTTTAATAAAGTACGTACTATGAATTTCTAGCCTTATCAATGCATCCTTGCGACACATTCTTCGTGATCTTTGCGATTTAACCTCTCCTCAACCGTAAATGTTCGATCACGCGACATCGCGGGTTGGATAATTGATTCTTAAAAATCGAGGCACAAAGCAGTGAACGCGTTAAAGGGAGAAATGTTTAATTAGAAATTTCAAGTTATTAGAAGTTAATATATTCAACGTGAAAGAGATTCTAAAGGGCAATTACTCCGGATGGCGGACCTCAAAGAGAGTCCCAATTTTAATTCAATTTCTCATTAACACTGTTCCTTTAAAAATTATTTTATAATTCCTTCGATTTTACCATAACGGCTCGTCTATTCTCAGGTACGTATCACAGTTATTTCCTGAAAGCTAAAAGTAAAAATAAGCTTCTAAAATTGAGATTGCAATCTTTGTACCAAATATTCTATTCTCTGAAGACTACAAAAGAAACAATTTCGAATAACAAATTATTTACCATTGTCACGACCGTTCACTGCCAAACTTGGTACGAAGGGTGTAAAGTCAAAGATCACTTAGCCGTTGAAAGAAGGAAACTCGTATCTCGAAACCGAATGCCACGAAATCGATCGGCTTTAATTAGACTTAATGAACGCGAGGAACGAACCGACAGCTCCCCTATCGACGAGGAACTACTCTCTTGACATAATTTATGCCCGAGCCGCGGAGCCGGCCTTTCTTCGCCGGTTAAATTACTTTCGGTTATTGCGGCTCGTCTGGCAGCAACCTGGTCCCCCGATCCTCTACGCGCAACATCTACGCCGTGGTAATATCCTGGTCTCGACACGACCTCTGCCGTAATGAGTCGTCGGAGAAGCTACGTGGTCGATCCTCGAATAACGTTGCTGTTCCTCGTGATACTGTCTTGGCTGTCGATCTGCGAACAGACGAGAATTCTAATAAGAGTATGTCAAAATTTCCTTCCTCTGTCGATTCATCCGTTTTCTTCAAACATGCTGAAAAATTAAGTACTCCAAAATAGGCACATCAGCGAACATGTCGACAGTTCATCGATGTGACAAAACAACTCGTCCATTGTAATCGTGACAAAGAGTGATCTTAATGGTCAATTGATATATTAGTAGAAAGTATATATTAAGCTCTATTGATAGTTTCAAGTGTTCGTTTAACTAGAGCCTCGTGTGTGTCCCACGATTGCGAATAAGTAGAGCGGAATGTTGCATTTATCACCATGAAGCAAGTAATATACTGGAACACTTTTCCAGATGGTCTAATGGATGTCCCCGGTGGATTGAATGACCCTGTCATAAGGGTGATATGATAAATCATCTGTGAACGTTGACAATTAATAGCTTTCTGGATGTCTCTGAGATTTTGAAAGATATTCCTGGGTTTAGGATTTCTTAACCCTTTCCACCCTAGTGAGAGCTTATCGCTTGAAATTTAACTCGATATTAAAATTCCATAGGGATTGAAATTCTTTCTTTCTTTTTTCTTTTTTATTATCAAACAATGAATTCATTGACATTCGTGTCACGAACGTAGAATTCAACAACGTTCGCTGAAAGCCGATGTTGAATCGCGGTAGAACGATTCGCGTAGTCTAACAAAACACGTAAACGCAAATGTAGAGGATTTTGTTTGATGACTCGGTTTTTTCTGGCCGTAAATCATCGAACGTCGATCGATATCCGATTAACCGTTGGCATTCGTAATTCAAACGGATACCTAAATCCTTGTACGACTGATTTATCCCCTCGAGATATGGCCGCGAGTGTTTCAATCCTCTCTCTCTCGTCTCTATTTTCTCTTCTTTTATTTTTTTCATTCGAAAGTCGGGTTCGTAAATAAAGCAAAAGGGCCAGGAAAAATAAGATTTTCATACTCGTTGATTCATTAAATTCCATTGATTTCAAAACATTACCCCGTATTTGTTCTTTCGCTGTCGATAAACCTTCGACGCGTTATTAAATCGCCTTTCTGTAACCAATCGTCCGTTTTGACAAGAAATTCAACGCGCCATAGAATCGCGAATCGACGATATTAATCACTGGAACGGTGCTCGGCTAACAACAATCGAAAGTTCCAAGTAATTTACATCGCGTCGCGGGTAATATTAATTCCTGCTCGTTCGATAACGTTCGCTACGAGCGTTGGGAAATTTTGAAATCGATGAAAAGCGAACCGGGGGTGAAAATTGCGGTTGTCGAGAGGAACAAGAAATCTCGTGACGCGGATATCGTTAATGACTCGCCAACGAGACGGTCTCGAGCGAAATCGCGTACTGTATCCGGTTGCTGGAATATAAATCAGCTGTTTTACGTCTTCCAACCGTGCCGGCTGCGATTATTAATCAACGTCATTTGAATCGCGCTCTCTTAATCGTCATCGGTCATCTGTATCAATTTACACCGGATACTAATTCGTTTCGTACTGGGCATCGTGGACGTCGATTTTGTTGGTTAATGGGAAACGAGAAGTGTAATTTGTCGATGATGATCGGGGAAAAAATTGAAATTAAGTAGACTCTCGTTATAGAGCTGCCTGGGAGACGATAGAGGTACACATTTTTTAAGTTTCCAAACTTTCAATTAATGAGGAAATGGAAATAAAATTGGCAAATATGCTATGAAAAATTTGTGAAAGTCACATCGTTCGTTTGGCAATATAACGAGAGTCCACTGTAAGAAGTTGAGGACAGTATGGGACACCGTGGGTCACGTCGAAAAATACCGAATGAACCATTGTCCTTGGCGGTTCATTTGGAAGAAAATTTACGAGGTACTCGAAAAGGGGATCAGCAGAGGAGCCCGTGGGAATCGAGCGAAGAAAATCATAGAGTCTGAGGCTGACTGTTAACAACCGTGTCGTAAAACCTGGAAGAAGATTGCACTGTATCGGGATACGAGACACTGAGGATCTCGAGTTCTTTATTCTTGTTCGGCAAGCGGGTGTCGTCGTTGTAAGGAAAACCGTTCTTACCAGAGTAAAATCGTGGTGGTCGTGCGGATAGTTTACGTGTCGTCGACGTCGTCCTCCTTTCTTGTTATGCATTATTAATAGCAGTGCCGTCGACACGGTCACCCGCCACGCCATGGATCGCATAAATCACTAAAAGAATCGTCGGGCTCGTTTAACGAGTCTCGTACGTTTAATTGATCGAGAATCGGGTCATGCACTTGAAACAGACGGAAATTGATCAACGCGAATAATGGAAAATTTTCAGCCAAATACCAGGACGTTAAGGAAATTTTAATGGATCGAATGTGGTTATTACTGCAAATTAATTATTCAAAACTATTATTTTGAGTTACCGTATATGCGAGAAAATTCCTTTTGAAGTCATTAAAATTAAATAGCTAACAGATGTTGTGTAATTAAAATGCAATTGGGCAATGTCATACGCTATGAAATAAGTAAAAAAGGAGATAGAATGAAATTTAAAATATTCTCGAGGGGTGAGATTGACAAATGACACCTGCGTGCTTAAAATATTTAAAACACCTCATAATTTCTTCGAAATTTCTCGAAAAGTAAAAATCCCCTTAGTATAAAAATCTTGTTACTTTAATGTAGGTATAAAATAATATTCTTTTATAAAATAGATATATCACAGAAAACTATGAAGTTATAACGAGATAGGATGATCACAGTAAATAAGGTAGCTCTCCGAGTGACTTAATTAAATCGGTAACAGGTGCATTATCTGTTCAACCCCTCCTCTCTTTTTACCCGAACTTCTCAAGCAGACGTTTAAATCTTACGATCATGATGCTTACCGTGACGAACAGAGACGCAGAAATTTAATAAATCGCAATCAAAGTGAACGTCTCTGGAAATTCAATTTAACAACAAAACTTGGACGAACTTTCATCCTTAACTTTATCAAACACCCTTGCTACTTCAGTGTCAAATTAGACAGAGCCAAAAGACAGGAAAGGATTCGAAGTTTTTCAATCTTTCTCATTTAACAATCATTTCTATTATAAAATTTATAGAATGGAAACAATTTTTAATAAAGGAATCAAAACTTGTCATTCCATTTTTCTAATTTATTTTGCAACACCCTAAAAATAATTGTTAAACAAAATAGGTATCGCAATTTCAAATCCTTTCACCACTTTCAGCCCAGAGACAACTCGTTTGATAAAAAGAAATTTCACGAAACAATGCTTACGACATATGCGTTGAAATTTATCTAGAAGAAATTAATTCAGACTTTTTCTCCACCATGGTAAGTAAATTCTGCACTTGTTGGACCTCCACGGTCGACAGAGTCGACTGCAAGTCTGGCAGAATGGCGTCCGTCAAACTCAAAGAAGCCAATTCCCCGATATTAGAGTTATCACGATCCGAAAGTACTCTCTTCATCTTTTTTATATATTTCTTCAAACCGACCTGCATGGCAATACCAGCCTTCGAGTCACGACGGGGTAGTTTCAATCCATCCGGACCACTCTCCTTCAAACCTAACCTATTTATCCTACTCCTTTCTCTGTTTCCACTCTTCAGAATCTTTCTGTCACTCGATGCCGACTTGCTGGAGCTGACTTTCGCAGTGTTCGCTTTGGAATCAATTGTTTTCTGCTGCGAGCTCCTCCACTCGGCAGCCATCTTGTTCCCCGAGAAATTACTCTTCGTGGTCGTAGCGGAACCCAAGTTTTTGAACTTCGGAACTTCCCGAACGCCCGTTATCTTCTCTTCTTTATTCTCCATCGATTCCAGCGGATTTTTCTTCCCGAAGGAACTAGAATACGATTTTCCGAAGCTTCCGCTGCTTTCCGGCGCCATTTTCTTCGCGTTTCCATCCACCGACGCGTTTTCCAGCTGCTCCTTTAATCTAGGACTTGCTTTCGCAGGACTGACCGTCTTCGACCTCGGTTTTCTGTAGAGTTTCGAAGATTTTTCAGACGGACTCTTCAAGGACTTGCTCGAACACTGCTGATCCTCTTTCGAAAGATTCCGTTCTCCGGAAGGATGTTGAACGGTTTTCACAGGAGAATCGATGGATTCGGGTATCTTTGAAGATTCAGATTTGTCGAAGAACTTGGTTGACGAACAAGCTCTTCCCGATTCATCGTTCATCGAGTAGGAGTCCTTCAAAAATTCTTCCGTCTCGCTTCTGATCGCTTCCAACTTGACGGGTTGATTGTTTCTCAACCTGGAATCGTTCCTACAGGAAGTTCTACCGATCGAAGAGGGCTCGGTGGAAATGTGAGACGAGGACTCTGAATTTTCTTGTACAGACTGTTTGCTCGAAATTGATCTTCTGATGGTTGGACTTTTTTTGGATTTCAAAGTCTTATTCGTCTGTCCATATTTTTTATTGAAGGATATTTGCGGGTTTCCGCTGATCCAGGGCAGAATTTGAGGCTTGTCGGAATTAAGACGTTTCGAGGCGAGCAAAGAATCCCGAGAATGATAAGAATGATCATCTCGAAGCTTGCTCGACTCGCTTCGAACACTCTCGGAATCGATGGAACTGATGGTCGTGCAATTGATGGATTCTCTCTCGCCTCCGTCCACCGAGGAGAATGTTTCTCCTCTGTCCTCGCGTTTCCGCGTTTTCGAGCTGGCTGAATCTGTGCTCGACGCCGTTCTCGAGGATTTCGTCGCGCTTTTCTTCGCGGACGATCGCGCGGACGTGGACCTCTTCGAGGATGTGGAATCAGCGCCCGTACTGGACGGCCTCGGGTTCGATGATCTTACACTCTTTTTCACGATCGATTCTGCAAGACGCGCCAAGGCTCGTTTCATAATCGACAAAAAACTGTTCTTTAGCACGCTCCATAGAGTGTGCTTATGTCACGATTTCTGTGTCTGTCACGTTTGATTTAATCCACGCATGCGCATTTCACAAAGTAGCTGTAATCCACGCATGCGCATTTCGCAAAGTAGCTGTAATCCACGCATGCGCAATCCACAATGTAGATCGAGTGCACCATAAGGCGACACTTTTCACCTAGATCATTAATTTCTCAAAATTTTCTCGTAATCTCGATTCGGTTTTCGAATTCTTCATCAAAGATGAAGCTCTGTAGCCGAAAATTGAACTATTTGTACGTAAGGAAAGAATGATGCACAATTACGACCCCTCTTCAGTTAAAAGCTTTGAAATATTGCTTTAAGTTTTAAGATATTGAAATTTCGAAATTTGACTCGCATATTAATATTACTATGGAGCGTGCCAGGAGTTCGGTTCGATTTTCATTAAATTTCCAGAAAATTACCTCTCTTCATCGATTCGTTGGTATCGTCGTTAAATGATATCCTCGGCTTCTCATCTTGGCCAAAAGCATCGGCTACCTCGATCCGTCGCGTTTCCGTCTCCTTCTCCACGGTTTCCGGTTTCTGTGTGCCCTTCGCAAGGAAATGATCCAACGGATGCATGTACTCCGTTTCCCTCTTGCTCATCCCCTGGGTAGCATCGTAATACTCCTCGACGAAATCGAACAGACTGTGATGATAACGATCGTTCAATCGTAAAGCGATCGAAGAATCGTCGTCGTTCAGATGAATCGAGTTGAGGACCACGTCGCCCGGTGGCTGGTAGTCATCGTACTGCTTCTTCAGGGCGGCTTCTATGAGCTTGTAACGGTAAGCATCGTAATCGAACGCTGATATGTCGATGATCGGTAGCTCGGAATTGGTGGCGACGTACGAGGACGATTGTTTTAGAGGTACCTCCTTCCTTTTCGTTGCACCTTCGTCTTCCTGGAAGTCTAGCTGCGTTCTCTTCTCTCTACGTGCATCCACGTTGTCGCCGCTCGCTTGAAGGATCGGCGTCGAGATCGTTTTGCGAGCGGATTCCAGCAGGTTCACGCTCGAACTCGAAGCGGAATCGACGAACACCGATGCGGGGTAATGCGTTACAACGGGCTGACTTCGTTCCTTTTCTTGGATGCCTCGATGTGCCGGGGTGATACCCGCGCGCGATTTCATCGAATCGTCCTGTCGTCGAGGATACTCGGTATTCAAGAAGGGTGTACGAGTGAAGTCTCGATGGAGTCGAACGTGGTTCGTAAGAAACGAAAGAATTGTGTAGAATTGCGAGCATTATTTGTTATTCGAAACACTATTTTATCCAGCACCGTCGTTTAATATGCAATAATCTCGGTGTCTGAATTCACTGGCGCAAAGTGCGGTTCATCAATTTCCAAGGGATCGAACCTGTAGACCCCATCGAACTTCAACGAGGGAGAAAAGATGAAAAAAAAAGAGAGAGGAGACTTTCGTACTAGGAAATGTTGAAGGTGGAGGATCAAAGGTGTGGCTAGCAACACAGCCAAAGCCAAAGCGAAAACACTCTCGACGACGAATGGTGGGATCGATTGCAAGGTTAGAACAAGCTTTCCAGGCGCCACGACGTTCAGCATAACGTTGCCTTTCTTCGGAAGTGGTTGGTCGATTTCCGGTAGACGCGGCGCTCGTTCTATCGCGCCTCATGTTAGAATCTCGATCATCGAATCCAGGCTCGACCGATCGATGTTGTTCCCAGCCCGCACACTGTCCTCGGAAACGTCTTCCATAATTGAACAATCGCTGATGGCTCCGATTCCGCTCATCTCTTTTTTTCCTTCGTTTGTCTTCGACCGCGGCGGAAAATATCCGAGCGAAAAGCTTTCAATCAGCCAACTACGCCGCTGTTGGAAACTAACCCAGAGTCAACGATGAAAATGTGATCTTCAATAACGAATATTTGTTCAAACTTTTATAGATTTTTCCTTTCTTTAATTCGTTCGTTGCATTGCGGTAAAAGTCAGAAAAATAATAATTGCACTTTTAATTAACCCTCGGACGACGGACCATGGAGAGAGCCCCGATTTTAACTTAATTTTCTTTTAATTTAATATAATTTCGAAAGCTACCTTGCAAAAATCTCTCCTCTGTGACTTCTGGTAGAAAATGTTTGTGAAAATATTGCACAGCCCTTATATAAATGGTTACAATTCATAAAGGGGTTGGAATTGGAAGATACAAATGGAAACTCTGAGAACTAGCTACCCTCTAATTAGACGCTTTTATGAAATTTCAAGTACATACGAATAACCATTAAACGTCCAATTCCGATAATAATGATCGTTTCGATCATTGAAAACATTCAAAGAATTATTTTATCAAAAATAAGGATTGAAAATGAAAATAAATGAAGTTAATTCCAGATCGAAAATAATCGAGATGATATTCGACGCTGAAATTTCACTAAAATCTCTGGCAGTTTATTAAATAATTAAATGTTTCAGGGTAAAATAATAAGTGTACTCATATTACTCAAGTGTTTAATTGAAACACGATAACCGGGCTGAGCACTAGGATTTCTGTTCTCCGATAATAATTTCTCTTTCATTTTCATCGTATTACGAAGACAGAGATCGAACTTTGACGAAACAATTGATACTATTATTATAATTGAATACTACGCGATATTCGAGATTTATTATTGGAAACGAGTTTCGCGAAATTTGATCAACGAACGTAATTCATACGAATTGGAAATGATGTTTTGAGCAAACGCCACCTATTACCGAGTTAATGAAAACTGGATTAAATTACTTCGTTCGCGATATAATTGTTCGAGGTTGAGCGAGCTCGAGATAGGATTTAAGCGCTCTTGAAACTTCATGAATTTCCTTAAACGCGTTAGCGACAAAAACCTACAGTAATAACGATGCTAATTTTATTGAAAAATATACCTTATCCCCGAAAAGTTTTACTAAATCAACTATATCTCTATTCTACGTTCAACAATTTCAGCATATAAATAAAAATAAAAATAAAATTTTCTCCATTTATAAAATTAAACAATTTACGTACTCTTCAAATTACAAATTCTTTGGTAAAAATAAAAAAAAACATTCTAACTGTATATAAAAGATGTTTCTAAATAGTTGCGAACGTATCAGCAACGAAACTGCATTCTGAAGAAGTTCACGAAACAGCGCGGCGAGGGTAGATAGTTAAGGGTAGAATTCGTAAACTTTTCACGGCTGATTACACCGATGTTACGAAGCCATTGAAGCAATCAAGTTTAAATTCGTAATAACGTTTAAACTCTGCAATTGATACGATCTTTCGAACTGAAAATGTGCTCCTGTTTCATTGAAAAGAATCGAAAGGAATCGATTTCGTATTAGCAAGAACAGATCTGCTGAAACAAAAGGGTGGATCTAACGACACCACCTCCATCGAATTCCATAAACAGCTGGGATAAAAGTTATGTTTTTCAAGATGAACGAAAGTGACAGAAACGTTAAAGACGCGGTGCATCAACGATAATCTTGCAATTTCATTAAAGGTGACCCAACCGAACGAACGAGCGTCGACGGTGCATAAACTGCAACGAAATAGTCCCGTAACGAGGTTAAGGATTATCCGGACCGCGTCGCCTGTTTCTCGTTTATTCATCGTTCATTTTGCGCGACTTTATGTATATATTGTATATACAGCGAGTCGAAAAAGTATTCGTATCTTCTCAATTAACGGTCGGTCGTGCAATGTACAGGGTGCGCAAGGTGTTGAAGATTTCATTTTCCAACAGCATCAAATACCAGGAATTATCGAACACCTATTGTTATTTATTAGCCAACCCGTGTCTAAAATTGAAAATCTTGAGAAGAGGGCTATAGCATTTAGACTTTCTGTCACTTTTGTACTTGGAAAAATTCACTTCATTTGCACTTCCAGTCTGACCGGAAATGGCCGAAAAAGGGTTGGCTCTAGAGCGAATCTCGCTCTAGTTCACTTTAGCTTGTTTTATATCAAGAATTGAAAAATGATAAAGAAATTTTGTATTCATTTGCAATTTTTCGTTTAAGATTGTACATTACTTTTAAGGTATCCTGTATATACGAATATCGCGTCTTTTTTAAAAACAAAATAAAATTTCGGGGACTTTAATTACCGTTTGGAATGGCCAGCACTCCCGGTGTCTCGTTCGTCGACCCCGTTTCCTCGTTTATTCCTTTCCTCTGTGTTGTTCAACCAACCCCTTCTTTAACGCGTTTATGGCGAAATTATGCGCGGATCCATGGAAATTCTTTTGTATTTCCCCGGCGAAAAATAGAGGAGATTTTGTTTGTTAACGCATCGTAGAGTTTTGTCTCCTTCATGGATGTTAAAATTATGATTAATGCATCTGAAGTACGTACAGTGTATGTTTAATGAAACAGGATTTTTTGTATTTTTTTTTTTTATCTTCCTTTATTCATATTTGGTAAAATTGAGATGAAAGAGTTAAATTGTCGAATTTTACGAATTCTCTTTATGATGTTGAATCAAGGATTTCGAACAATCGGGCTCAGCGAAGCCTTAAACGAATTGCATTCTCTTACTGGTTCCCCTGTTTCGCTTCTCATAGCTATTCGCGAGTAATTCAAGCAATTTAAATAATTCAACTTACCGACGTTATTCAAATATCCAAAATTATATAATGGGAGGAATTAAGTTTCACTGTCACATATTACCAGGGAAATTCTGGTTTCCCAGTGATTTCAAGAATCTTCCTTTGAAACCTCGTTTCCAATCTTGCTAATAATTTCAGATTTTAAATTACCATTGGGAATAAACTATAACCATGTTGTTGAAAACAAATTCACTGATTAAAAATTTTCAAAATATTTTACAAAATTATTGTAATTTCATTTTCGCTTCCAAGCAAAATTTTGGTTTCCATATCAAATTCAAAAATTCATCCTTAAAAAGAATCAAGAAATTGTTTTTCTATATTGGATTCAATATAATATTGAAGTTTCGTTGAGAAACTCAAAAGCTCCCATTCGTATGGAATTTCATTTCAGAATCTGTCAAAATTTTGTTCTACACTACCTCGGGCTTTTATTCCACCCCCATCAAGATCTTACACCATAATATTCTAATATTCTGTTCTACTTCCTTTCACGACTTCGTTCCACGATATTCCATCCACGGTCTTACAAAATTCTCTGCCGTCCTCCTATCTTTTTACGAATCTCTTAAAATTTCATGTAATTCCACTTTACGAATAAATTACAGTCCGGGACTGCTGGAAGCATTCCCTAATTTCTTTATCGCAATTTTTGCATTTTAATTATATACTTTATATCGAAAATGGCAAAGGAAAGATTGATACTCGTTAAGGGTAAGCTAGTCGTTGTGTAGCCAGCGAAATTGTTGTTCAAGTGGTGCTGGTGAGCGGACAGCAATTTCAGGTGAAACCTCCGCGGGCTAATTTAACGATGTCTCGCGCGTTAACTCGTAATTACTGTTCAAATTACAGGCGAGGTATCGCGTTGAGGATCTTATTAGCAAAGTGGCAGAAGCACGCTACCATGCCTGGGACTGACAACATCTACAACATACCCACCGCCTATCAGACATTTTAGAAAATCTCATTTTTTTTCTTCGATCACTCTAAATATCCATATATCGATATTCGAAACGTGCCTCGAGGTCTACATTCGACGATGCTGACGAGAAAACGTGGTTTGGTGAAACCTGATTTCGAGCTCGATAGAAATTATTAAAGCAAATGTGCATTGGGTATCTCTAAAAATTTCCTTTATAATAATATTCTAATGTTAAATAAATGTATTTAAAAGCCATGGTATATAAAAAAGAAAATAAAGGCATCCATCGAAGAAGATATAAAAGAAAATGTTTTTCTATCAAATAAACATCACCCTAATATACCCTCACGAAATTGTCAATCAAACCTAAACAAATTCTACCCATCTATCCAACCTTCTTCAATCTCCTCCCCTATTGGATTCATCCCTATGTTTATACCGAAATCCTGAAATCCCTCCGAACCTGGTGTTCCCGAAACCTCTTCGTGTCGCTTCGTGTAAAAAAAAAAACAGAAAAAAAATCCACGGATCTAGCAAATCCAAGAGAGACTGAAAATCCGTGTTAACTCGTTTTTAAAGAAGTCGCTCCGGGTAAAGGAGCCTCCGTTGAAGGTGAAAAGCGGTGAAAAATCGGCGTTAGCTCGCGGATAGGTTGAAAGGGGCGGCAAAAGCGTAAATGGGGTTGCGAAAGTGGCCGTGGTACACGCGAATTGTACCGATGCGATGGTTTCGCGCGTATCGCTGCGAAGTGCAACCGGGAACCACTCGATGCACAATGGCCTCGCACTCTTTCATTTCGCAGTCGACTGACCGTGTGTTGGTCGACGCTTTTGTCGGATTTTCGACGCTGCTTTCACGCGGAAAAATAGACTGTTACCGTGAGGTAGATTCGGGGTGGGATTTGTCGCAGAAAACACCCGCTTCGGTCGTTAAATAGACGTCGTTGCGATAGATTTTTATTTCTTTTTGTTCCGTTAAAATGTTGACCTCCTATTCGAAGTACACATTTCTGAATTTAACGTGTAAGAAAAATTTCCAGTTTAGATTTTGTCGGGAAATTTGATTTCCTGAAAAACGAGTGAAGGGAAACAAGGGAAATTCTGGGAATCAGGCTAGGGTGAAATCTTGTTGGAAGAAAAACCGAGGCGTTCGTACACACGCTACGTAGGCAAGGGTGTTTCGTCGAAAGAAAGATTTGCAATTCCAGCGAATCAATGAGGAAACAAGATTAAGCTCATCCCGTGAGAACTCGACTTCGTTTGCTGGCGAAAGGATCAAAAGAACGACGAAACGAGCAAACCATTCCGCTGAGGAAAAGGAGCAAGGTTACGTTTGATTAAAATTACTTGCTCACCCTTCGAATAACGTTTCATTTCGCGATAGAAAGATTAATTCTGTTGCACGATCCTTACAGATTTCAAGCTTTCGGTCAATGGATGTTGAAACGTTCGAAAGCCCTAAAATTCCAAAGCTCTCAAATTCCAAACTTCTAAAGTTTCAGATTTCTAGAGCTACAAACTTCTCCAGCTCTAGAGTTCCAAAGTTCCAAATTTCTAAGTATTCCAACCACGATGATTATAACCCACCTTTTCATTCTGTTTGAAAATCATTTCAAATAGATAGACACGATGGTTGGTTAAATATCGATACAGAAGTTTAAAGGGAAAAATCATTGGGTAAATGAGTTATTACGTCCTTCACCGGTGAACGATGGAACAATTTATCTTCCTCGGTTAACAGATAACAAGACTTATCCTCTTTTCTTTAAAATTTCACCGCCCTTTACAAATGTCCCAGTTGCTGGAAGATTTATCCAAGAAAAAAGGTCCAACAACAAAAGGTTAAAAATACGATCGGAGAAGAGCGTCAGAAAGTAAACGGAAGAAATATCGTTGAAACGAACCGTGAGAAACAAAGGTTAGATCGAGGTGAGATAAATGCTTTTTTACCAAGATTCAAACAGAATTTCACGTGAAATAACGCATTTTTGTATCGAGTCCAACTTTGTCCCAAGGGTGCATACGTTTCAACGATCTGCATTTTTCAACCTGGAACTGGGACAAGATGGTGGTACAATAAAAAAAAAAGGAATAAACAGTCGGATTTCTAAAAATTCTGTGAAAATCAACAAAATTGTATTTTCCTCCAGTAACCGGTGTAACGGTGTTGTCAGTCTTGGAAACGTTTCAAATTCTATGAAAAAAAAGGAAATGGAAGTTCGTTGAAGAGAAAGATATTCAGGGAAAAAATGTCGAAATTGTTGGCCCATCAAATCCCTGTGATACAATGAACGATGCTTCATTTGAAATTCCAATGGGACCATTACTTTGTGACCTGTATTCCCTTCGGGACACGTTTGCAAGTAAAAAAGCTTCACTATCGCGTCTGTATGAAGATTCTCCTTATCTTATTACTAAAGAACGTTCTTACCTTGTATCAGTGTGGGAATAAATTTTTCCCTTCGAATAAAATTTCATTTCTTATTCAATTTCAACACCTTACGCGTTCATTTGAAATTCAAAAAAAGAAACTTGTTTTGTCGTTTATCTTCTGCTCGAAAATCTGTTATCATTAATTATTGTGAAACAATTTTCATGGAAATCTGAATTTTAAATAAATCAATCGTACTCGTTCTGATTTTCTTTCGTTCGCCGGCAAAACATCGTATAAAACTGGCAAATTGAACGGAACGAATTAATTTTCATCGAAATTCTCCTGCAGCTTGCAGCATTTACGCTTCTCGCGTATTTTTAACGAAATATTTGAAAACTTTTTAATAAAACGAAGGATCCGCGCGAGACCGAAGAGGAGTTTTATTAATAATTCTCTCCTGTTTTTTTGACGCAAAGTGCAATTGTTTTGATTAAATATCGTAAAATTGATTTACGCCAAGTAAGATTAAATATTAAAAATATGAATTTTACATTGAATACGTAATATGATCACATGCAATTCAAATTTGTATCTGATTCGATTCGATACGCTTGCGTCCAGTAAGAGGAAATGTTAGAAACAAGAGTTTAGAAACGTGCAGTAACTTACAATCTCCAAGGGGATACGATCTGGGTAGTTGGGGATGACCTTGGTTACCATGAATGGGATGAACTTCGTGATAAGCCGCATTCGCTTCCTGATAACCGTTCTGTCTCTGTCCTCGATAGTTCTGTGCAGCATACGCTCCGGAAAAGATTCTCGTGTACCTCAGGTAGCAACCGTTCGGTATCTGCCACTGAAAATCAAATTAGGGTATCCGTGACTGTTCTATTCTTGTATAAAATTGTAAGTGACGACTGTAAAAGGATAATCTAGCAAGCTCTATTAACCCTTGGACGGGGCGGACCATGGAGAGAGCCCCAATTTTAGATTGATCACCTAATTCATATTATTTCAATTTTCTAAATTTTACGATGTTCTTTTAAAAATGATTCTTCCAATATATGAAACTCTTTCGTTTAAGTGTAATTTTGGATTGCGATTGATCCTGGTTCTGCTGTTCAAGTGTTAATTACTAATATTTGCATATTTACCCCGAAAGTGGTGGATGGTATCGGTTGGGGTGCTCTACCGGGACACATCAGCATCCTTCTTCTGTAGTATCGTGGCTAATTGGTGAAACAAATACAACCATGATTTTAAATTAGATTTCAATCATTACAGATGGGTTAAATTATGTTTAAGAGAACCCAGAGTTTGAATACAAAATTTTGAAGTACAATTATCGAAGAAAATAATTATTTTATATTATTGGAGAGAAAATTTATATAATATGTTTCATCGATATATTGATTAATCGCGGGAGAATAATTCTAATATACTTTACAATAAATTAATTATTTTCACCATACATCGAAAATAGAGACTTAAGGATGAAGAATCCTTCTGGCTGTCGATCTTGGTGTTAATTAGCGTCAGTCGTCGAAAGGATTAACACGATTTACCAATTCGATGATACGCCAATTATCCCGATAACGGGACAGTTATTATGCATGCAGATGATCGGAAGTTTAATTAATGGGTATTGGAATAATCGACGACTGGGTTAATTGACTCTCAATTAACGTGGGCGCCGTCGCATTAATGGAACGATCATGATGCTGTTAAGACAACTAAACTTGCGAATTCATTTGTCAAAAATAAACTTACAGTGAATTATAAAAGTATTCATACTTTAATCAATTTCTAATTGCACAGCAATAGTATTTCTTTAAAAAAAATATTCTAATACATTTTTTGCTATTTTACATTTTTTAGTTACTTTTCGCGTAGAATCATAAATTTGTGGGAAGTTAACAATTGACAGTGTACGAATACTTTAGCGATTCACTGCAACTGTGGATTTTTGGTCGGAGGTAAAAAAAAGAGCTTTTGAAGCTAGAATGCAGCCGCAACACAGACAAGAAAACGCAGAATTTGCGGGTAGACAGGATACCACGAGTTTCCTCGCTTTTACAACCGGGAACAGCTATTTCCATTACAAGAAGCTATCGCTTTCCCGGAGAGAAAACGTCGAGGAACCGCTATAAAGTTGTCTGTCAGCCTCTGTTGAAATCCCTTCTCGTAAATCGCGTGATAAACTAAGTAAATGGAGGCAGCGTTTTGAAATTTTCTCTACTATTTTCGGACTATCTCAAGAACTTCCTAGTCGGGAAAAGAACGGCAAAAAATACAAATCAGATGCGAATTAATTAAACAAAATTATACGAATTTTTGTATCTCCACATATTTACTGCATTTATTCTGCATATATCTTGCATATATTTTGCACTTTTAAAACATAACAGATTTTTTATACGCTTCTACAATCTGTTGGTAGAATAAAATTGATATCAAATGAAAATTTGTACAGATAAAATTGTATTATTTTAAAACTGCAAAAACGACACGATATCGTGAAATAAAATTTTATTTTTCAGATAAAAAATATAGATAGGGTTTCGTGAAATTGCAAAAACATTTAAATTCTTTTCAACTTACCTCGGAATCTCGACGGTGATCCGATTCTGAAAACGTACGAGACACCAGATAAGTTCGATTAATCGTTTTCTATCGCGGCCAATCGATGTTATCGAGACGAGAATTCCACCGAGCTCGACGAAAGTATCATTCTTTCCTTATCGAAACGATCGGTCGATTAGGCGCCCTTATCGGAAATTTTATAGGAGAATCATCTTTATTGAATTCATTAAATCAAAGTAATTAGTCCGAGTCGATTAAAAACTGAGCCATCGTACATTACCAAGGCTCTCCTTTTTCTTTTTTATCGATTGATAAGGAAAGAAAATTTGATCTACGATCGAGGAAACATTGGAATTTATGATCAATTAACGAACAATCATTCTTATTCCGAACGTCTCTAGGGGATGAAGATATTCGATGGACGTCGTGCTCGATATCATCGGCTACTTCCCTCGCATTACATAAATTTACCTCGTACGTGTATCGAGAAATGGCATTCGGCTCGATTTCCGGCTGCATCGGAAGCGATGTAGCGCACGTTGTGAATGCCAGGGTACATCAGCTGTCCGGGTTCCTGTGTTCGAATATACGCGAGTTAACTTTCGATAGCCCGAGAAGCGAATCCCTTTTGAGATTGAAATACAAACGCTACGAATTATTATTCAAAGCGGAGAGCACGGGTTCGCCCGAGTTTATCGTTCGATAAGTTTCGATTGCTTCGACCGCGAACTGTTCCTTCGATAGAATTTCTGAGCGATCCTTCTGATCCTTTTCTTTCATTCCCTGGTCCCTATTTCATTCCTTTTCGCCCTCTTTTCCTTCGCTTATTTTTAAGGCTGGCTTTTTCGATACTTTAACTCGCAATCAATCACGTATCGCGTTTATCAATCGTACGAGAGAAATCTCACCAATTACCGCCCGCCAATTATCACCTGTCCAACCAATTCGCTGGTTATCGCGTTAAAACAACGATCGCTGTGTCGCTGGTGGTCGAGCAACCACTAATTAACCCGAGTAATTATCCATTAACAAAACTAACTGTATCCCGAGGTACAAAGATGGAAAAGGAAAAATAAGATGTACAAGAAAGTTGATCTTCAGATTCATTCATCTTTTTTCGCCGCTACCATTGGCTGTTCGAGACACGGTAGGTTAATTAATGGTGGTCAGAGATAACCACGAAATTGGTAAGTTTGATCGTTAGAGGGGAAAGTTTTAATAAATCGGTCAGAGAAGAGGGAGCTAACCCTCGCGATAAGAGGTGAAATTATGAATGGAAGGGGATTGTGTTTCCGTGATGAAGTAAACGGGATAAAACCGATGAAATTTCTATGGAAACTTAGAAGAACTGAAGCTCTGATATTTTTGAATGATCGTCAATTGCGATCGGAAATCGCGAGAAATTGCAATTGAAAGTTTGCAGCAAATTTGATTAAAGCGACTTTAATAAAGGCTTCTAATATTGTAGCGAATGTTGATTATTCCGCAAGTTATAACGACTCCGTAAGGAGACGAAGGAGGACGAGAGGGTAGAGGGAAGGAAAGCTAGGATTAAGCTGAAATTTGATGTCAATCTGCTCACCCTCGTTTTGTAGACACGCTCGACGGCAACGTTGTCGGTGAACGTTGGTTCCTGCCAGAATATTAAGCGATTCCGTTCACCAGGGCTTAGCCGCACTTCAAAGGACGTCGGGCATGTCGAAACTTTTGGATTTTCCGTGTCTGTGAATTGTAATATAATCAGACGTCAGTATGGCAAACAAATTATTCCCTTCTATATAAACTCAAAATGTTACTCTACTTCGGATAATCATTTTCAATGTGGGATTTTTCGGAATGAAATTAGAAAAATATCGCTTTGATTTTTCTTTCGGTGTTTAAAGGACAGCCAAGGAAATTCAAAGAAGACGAAGACGAGATCTTCTTTTAAATTACATTCTTGAAAGATGAGCTTTATTTTACGTCTCTGATATTTTCTTTCCACGTTATCTCGCGACTGACCAGCTTACAGTCTTATGATTACTAATTAAACCGGAAGCTAGTACACCGGGAAATCGCGTTACGAAACTATTCGCTAAGGCGGTCTGACGCAATTAAAAGTTTCACAGATCCGATTTAACAGTTCGACGAGGTGTTCGATGTTACAGCAGATCAACTTCAGCAACGGACACCGACGAATTTATCGCGATAAATTACATCGTGACAGTTCTTTTAACATTGTTTTGTTTTCCATTAAAAGTTTCCCGTTTTATATCACTGGGAAACGCGTTCGACGATATCGAGAATTTCTATTCTTTAATCCCAATTTTCTGATGTTCGAACTCTTTTCACGAATCGCACGATTAAACGGCAATCGGCAAGTTGCATAGTTGAGACAATTTTAATCGTGGTTAATTAGTCGAGACAGCTAAAAGGTAAAGACTTAGACGGAGCAATTAAGAATTACCACCGAGTCCTTTGCGTCCGGATCAACGGTCTGTTTCCTGTAATTGCATATCGGCCTGTCCACCGGAAGTAAGCCGGTCCAACGGAGTTTCGCGTACTTCAGGAATGAGTAATTAAGCGGGACGCAGCTAAGTGCACTTCACCGACGAAACTGAACTTCCGAGTATCGAGGTCCGTTGACCGTTTTGGTTGCCTTCGAAAAATTTTCCAACCCTTTTATTTCGTACTCGATCGTCAAGGACCGTTCCCTTTTCACCCTTACTCCACGTCCTCCCCTTCGTTCCCGTCATTTTCTTGTTTTTACTTTTTTACCTCGTGATCGAACCGCGACCTCGTAAGCCATTCGGTTTGCTCGTTAATGCCGTTTGATCGAGACTTCCGGCGAATTGGTGAACGTTTTTGTTTGTCTTTGGACAAACGTTACAGCGCCAAGGGAACCCTTTCGATCCGGCACCTTCAACTTTCCATCGAGAGTTTTGTTATCGTTGAACTTGCCCGGGAAACGTGGAATGTTTGAAAAAGAGAGCTCTTTTTATCCCGTTGCGAATCCTGAATCGTCCCGGGCTTCGAATGCTCGAGCAATTTAATTACTTTTTCCAAGTAATTGAAATAAATTATCAAAAGGCTACATTTAAATAAATTTTCTATACCCATCTGAATAATTATTGAAGAAAATTGAAAAATAAATTTTGTAATACAGTTTATTTTATACAATGAATTTAGCCTTATTGATTCCTGAATTTTTGTCATCACCTGTACATGATGCAAGAAGAAATTGCAGAAAGACACGGACTATCGATAAAATCTGGAGTCACAAGCAAGCCTGTACGACCTAGGGCAACCGTACACAGCTGACATTAATAATAGAGACGTTATATTGACCAATCAGGATAAAGAATTATGGGACACGTTGCTTGGATCCTGCCAGGATACCCACAGCGAAAAATACAAAAACAAAGGAATCACGTGAGAAAGGCTGTCTGCTCGGTCGCTCGGCGAATGATATGTGATAGCGAACAGCGATTTTTCTTTTCTTTTTTCCTCCATAGGAAACCCTTCCTTTAGGCGAACACATTATTATCTAGCGGTTAAACAGCCCGATCGTAAATCACACGTAAGCGAGATCAAACAATACCGCAAAATAACGTTTCTATTCGAACTGTCTGCGAGCCATTCATTCCACGGTGTGTTGCCCGACTGCACGCTTTCGATAGCTTTTCAACGCGATTACTTCCGTGGAAATTCTGACAATTTCACCGTTTCAGAGGTATCAAACTTGTAGATTTTATCGGCTCGTTTTCACGCGTACAGGTACTTGCATCAATATTTGGAATTAAAATATTGCCTAAGCTATCAATGAACCTTCAAACTCTATTGATAAACAGCAACGCAACGATAACTCTACGCTGTGATTTAATTTTTATAATTGTTCATAAAATAAATATGAAATATTATTTCATTACCATAATGAAATAATTATTTAATATTGATTGATTTTATATTACATAAACGCTGAAAACGATTTAGACTTTTGAAAACTTTTTATTGCCAGATGGGTTAATATCGAACCCTATCCAATCTGGTTTCCATCACCCATGGTATACGACATTTTTGAAAGCACACAGATTATGGCACGGGAAAATTGTTTATCCGGGAAAATTGTTAGCTATTTTCCGGGTGCTCCATCTTGCTAGAAACTCATTCGCCTTCTTATCGTAAGAGGTATATCCTCTAAATGATGAAAGTGATTTATTTATAAAAAAGTACCCTAATAATTTACTGTAAGTGGCCAGTATATAGTGTACAGATCAATAAATAATTATTTATTAAGAATCGATGCCGAAAATCATCTTTCACTATTCCAAATAAATTATTAACTCTATTCAACTGTGATAAACTATCAGAATGTTTTGTCAATTTTTAAATTCTACAAAGTTCCAGCTTTATTTTCTATTCATTTTTCCTCTACCATTGTTCCTCTGACTTCGGTTGCTTCAACTTTTCTTTATTATCATTGTTATTCTTTTTTATTGTACCATTACTTCGGCACAATTCATCCTATTAACAATCAGATAAAAGAACTTCTTGCGTACCTTCTTGTTAACAATGCTCATAGAAACTTCTTCCTAACAAACGAGAGATGTACTTTCATGCTGTTTTCTTTCAATATAAAATCAGCAAGATTTATGTTACAATAGTTTACAGAAGAAAAGATGGTCGATCGAAGAAAATATATCGTACTACTTATGCCTTAAAGCAATAATCACGATTAATCCCCTCTTACAACCGCATGTTTTCCATCGTACGTGTAAACGAAATAACATGTCGTTAAATTATTCTTGTAATTCCTTGCTATTGCAATTTCTAAACACATTTGCATTAGCAATGAACGGTTTGCTCTGCTTATAAGTGTTGTGCAACGTTTAAGTATCACGGAGAGATCGGGCAATCATTTTATGCGAACACGTAACTCTTAATGCAAAAGTATAAATAGGATTGTCCATTTTTGCAATTGGATTCGATTCATGCCATAAAGCATATTGTAATTTTTTAAATCACAGTACCACTCCACATTTACACTGACTAAATACCCTTGATTGACATCGATAAACGTATCGATAAATCAATGATCGATTAACTTAAGCCACTCACCTCGAACCCGTATCACTATCCTACACGTGCTGGTATAATTCGACACAGGGGACCAGGCTGTAAAGGTGACAACCGTCGTACCGGCTGGTAAATCCGCTTGTAATTGCTTGGCCCATGACGGAGAAGCATCCACGTACCTGCAGAAAAGAAACAGAAACACCAAGTCATCTAAGATGAAATCGAGCTCGACAACTATAGATAAAACGTCATCTTATCTATGAATTATAATAGATCATCGAATCGTCTGAGCATATAAATACTTGTCAACTTTATGACCGACGTTTTTAGGGATCATAGAACGATCTCTCTATCTGGTCGCGTAAAATCGCGCAGAATCGACAGCCGAGTCGAACAAACGGAGACACGAGAGCACAAATACCCGGCCAAAGACGTGTATACATCCTTGGAAGGAAGGAAGCCTCTAAGCTCGTTTGGAATTCCCATTGTACAGTGGGAAAGGCTTGCAAGCAGTCTCAGTTGCGAGGCAAGATAAACCATTCCATTGTGGGGACATATTGCAGAGCGAAGATCCGTGAAAAGAAATTAATTTCCTCCCTTTGATGCACTGTACAATGGGTGAACACGTTTCGACGTCACGATTGATGTTTAAATTAATTTCCAACATTAAATAAAAAAGCATCATCTGTGAAATTATATCTCTGGATGTTACGTATGTTCAAGTATCTTTTACCCTCGGACGGCGGACCATGGAGAGAGACACGATTTAAATTGAATGAAATTTTTACATTGTTCGTTTGAACGTTATACGTTTAATTATTTTTTATTAACAAATACACTTGTTGATAAATACCTCCACCAATTCATGTTGGATTTAGGCTGCGGAAAGGAGACGCGTATCGTGTTCTGTCTTGCGGGTAGCTCCACGTCCATGTCCCTTGGACACCTGACGAACGGTCGTGGCATGTCTGAAGCAACAAAGCCTGTTATTAAACGCGCGGTTTTCCATGAAACGTCCGACAGAATTATAATGGACACGAGAAATGACGGATTCTAGCCTTCGAAACGATCGCGTTCCTCGAAACTGTCTCCACGCTCGTAATCGGATTATCGGCTGCTCGTTAAATTGCTTTAGGGCTCAATTACCATGGTGTTCCATATCGCGGTTGCTGTACGAACCTTCTTACCTCATCTACGCGTCCTATAATTATTTCGACGATATAAGAGGTAGCTACGATTTGCCAGCGGTAATATCGCAAGCGCACCCGCGTGGGCGGTATTTCATTAACACGATCACTGTCCTGGAAATCACTTCTGACTGGCACTACCTGTGTCCCAAATTAAATGCCGGTTTTGCTTTCGTCGATACCGTAAATGCAAGAAAATTTCAATGCGATTGAAAGGGAGAAGAGAAGGATGAAAAAAACAGTGAAAAAGCGGAACGGTTAAAGACAGCGGAAGGTAGAACGATAAATGAAATGTAAAAGAAAGGTAAAGCTGGTCCCTGTAAGCTCGTTAAGGCGTGGTGTTAACGTATAGCGTCGTTAGCAACCGGTCTTTGCGCCGGAACTTCCTATTATTAAAAGCTGTTTAGAGCGGCCGTGTGACTAATTAAACGCGCCAGAGGATTTTCGTCGGTAAATAATTGCACCTGACGGCAATGTTTCTTCTCGATCGCTCGCAGAAACCAACCGGTTTATTCTCCACCATTTACCTTCAATGAAAACAAAACCTGCGATTTCGTTCTCGCCATTCGAAATTGATTATTTAAAATTATTTAAAAAAAAAAATATACGGTATATAAATCTAGGGTAAAGATTTACTCGATGAAATTTTGAACAGTTTCGAAACGACAGTCGCCGTGTTTTCGCGATGGATGGGTTCACCGTGGAAGATAAAAAGGTCGAGGAAAGAACTCACCTGAATGGTAACGGGAATCGGTCATGGTTGATTCTTGAATACAAGTAGGTTCGTTCCCGTTCCATCGGTCGCCAGCCATGCAATACCTCGTGTGCGGTCCTTCTAGCCTGAAACCCCTTCGACATCGAATATGACATCTCGCTCCAACGGGATAATCCACTGCACCGGAAGAATGGCCAGGGCATCTGATCTGCAGCGAAAAGAATACCGAAAATACAATACGTATGCAGGTTCAGAAATGATTTCCCGTCTCGTGCATCGAAAATGCATCTCCTAAGTGCTCGATATTTTTGGTCGATTTCGAAAAAGGTTTCACCAGAATATTCATTTCTGCAAGCAACCAGCTTGCAAGTAAGGATTAAAAATAACATCCGAGAAATTCACACGAAGGCTTGTTAAAGCGAAAAACAACTTTTACAGTACTTTTTCAAAAATTCGCATCTACTCGCTCGTTAAACTTGCAGCATCTATTTAAAAATTTCTGTTGAAACTTGTTAAAAGGGAAATAAGTTTGAAGATCTTTCTATTAAAATTGATAACTTCATAAATAGATAACCGAAATGAATAGGTAGAATGAAATTTTTTTGAAATTTACATTTGATGTTAGTTATAATTGGATGAATTTTGCATATTAAATTGTTTACACACTTCGGCATGGAGCGGTGGTTCCATGGCACGACATCTCAATTCAGTTGAAATGCAAGTTCTCTCGTCGGAAGCCAACAACGAGTCGCCACTGCACGTACAGTAGTAACTTCCGGCAGTGTTAACGCATTCACCGTTGCAGCCACCGTTACGATTCAAGCACTCGTTTATGTCTTGGCACTGGCTTCTGTTTCTGAGAACAAAAGTAGGATTTTGTTCGAGGGAATCTTCGCGAGTTAACGAAAACCACGTGATCTCGTGAAATAAAAGTGTAGCAAGAGAGCATCTAAATTAACGAATAGCATCTAAAATTAATTATCTTACCTCTGATTTGTGATATAACCAGGCCGACACGCGCATACGTACGATCCTATCGTATTGATGCAATTTTGCTCGCATCTACCGTTGTCCCACTCGCATTCGTTTACATCTAAATAAGAAAATGAAAACGATGTCGATTTTTTTAAATTATAAAATTTCAAAAATTTTTAGGAATTTTACTTGCCAATGCAATCGTTTCCGCGCGATCTAAATCCCGGCGCACAAGTGCATCGATAAGAGCCAGGCGTGTTGATGCATCTTTCTTCGCAAGGTGCATCCTCGATGCACTCGTCGATATCTGCGCGCAGCGAACTTACGCTTAATAAAAACGCAACGAATCTACTATTTGAGAGAATATTTTTCACCTACCTACACAATTGTCGCCGTCCAATCGATACCCGGTATCGCACTCGCAACGATAGCTACCGTAAGTATTGATGCACTTGGTTTTCGTGCAAGGCTTACCAGCGCATTCGTCGATGTCTGAAAGTTACCAGCTCGGCGTAAAACTCTCGAATCGATTTTATTCTACGTTTATAATCAACAATCTCCAAATGCATCGTGGATGCTTAATCTCCACCGAGCTAAATTTACCCTTCAACGTGTTGAGCAACTTGGTTGAATACAATTGGAAAGGGAAACGAGATTCTGTCTTAAACTATTGTGTGCACAAAATATTAAACTTTCCACCGACTGCACTCTGGTATGTATTTTCCATGTACATATATAATCGAAGTCGAAGCGAGAACAAGGATGGATAAGGTCTTATTAACGCTAGAGCTACAGAAAATTAAATAGATAAAGGATGGAATATAATTTAACATATACATCCATTCTTCATCTCGACGATAGGTAACGTACGTTTCAACAAAAATATCTGGATAAAATTTATAATTTAAAATAAGAAACTTGAAATCAATCATTTTGACTGGTTTGGTAATTCTAGTATTAGAACGTTACGATAGTATTCTGGTAACGATTATATACGAATTTTAGAAACAATCTACTAAGAATAGAATGTGTGATTAATTGAATCGCAATATATAAAAAGAAAAGAAATATTTATAAACGAAAAGTACTCACCGACGCAAGTAGAATTCCGCATTTCGAAACCTTCTCTGCATTCGCACTCGAAAGAGCCAACAGTGTTAACACACAATTGATCGCAGCCGTGTTGACCAGCACATTCATCAATATCCTTACACTTCGATCGATCAATCTCGTCGTATCGGAAGCCTTCCCTGCACGTGCAAACGACCAGACCATTGTCTACATTACAAATCTGTTCGCAACCGCCATTGTCAGTGGCGCAGGGATCCGAAAGGTAACAGGATTTATTCCTCAACTGGTGACCGATCGGACAATCGCATCGATAAGATCCTGGCTCGTTGATGCATACGTGGGAACATCCAGCATTATTATTTTCACACTCGTCCACGTCCGTGCAGCTCTTCCGATCCTCTTTCAATCGAAAACCGTCCGGACACTCGCAACGATGACTACCTTCCAGGTTGATACAGGTATCGGTGCAACCGCCGTTTTCCATCTCGCACTCGTCGACGTCGCGACAGCTTTTCAAATCCAGATCCAAGCGAAAGCCAACGGAACAACGACAGAGGAAACTACCCTGCAAGTTAACGCAGACATCCGAACAGCCGCCGTTCTCCGTCAGACACTCGTCTACGTCGTGGCACGTCTTTGCAGCCTCGTCTAAGCGCAAACCGAGAGGACAGCTGCATCTAACGCCTCCGGGCACGTTGAAGCATGCATGCGAGCAACCGCCGTTGTTCGTCTTGCACTCGTCGACGTCGACGCAGCTACGCGAATCGTTCGCCAACACGTGGCCCTCCGGACAGCTACATTTCCACGAGCCAATCGTGTTGATGCACTCGTGGACGCATTCAGCCGCACCCGTCTCGCACTCGTCCACGTCGATGCAGGTCCTCTCGTCTTGAGAGAGCTCGTACCCGGTCGGACAGGAGCAGAAGTGGCCACCGATAGTGTTGGTGCAACGATGCGAACACTCGCCGTTCCTCTCCAGACACTCGTCGATGTCCAGACAGCTGGACTTATCCGAGTGCAGATAATGTCCCTCGTAACAAGTACACACGTAGCTACCCAACAGATTCAAGCAATCGTGGCTGCAATTGTGCTGGCTGTTCAGGCACTCGTTCACGTCGATACAGTTCTTCTTGTCCTCCGGTAACAGGATATACCCGGAAGGACACTCGCAATAGTAGCTACCCTCGGTGTTGACGCAGATGTGGGAGCAGCCAAGGTCCACGTCGTTCTCGAATTCCTCGCATTCGTCGATGTCCTCGCAGGTCTTTTGATCCGGCTTCAATCGGAAGCCTAAGGGGCAAGAGCAACGAGTCTTATCGGTGCCTTCCTCGCGGTGACAATGATGAGAACAGTTGCCGTTGTTCCGTTTGCAACCGTCGATCAATCTGCAAGTTCTGTTGTCGTTCTCGAGCAGATAACCGGACGGACAGGAACAACGAAACGATCCCACGAGATTCGTACAGGTGTGAGAACATCCTCCGTTCGAATCCTCGCATTCGTCTATATCGTCGCAAAATGCTGGCTCCATAGAATTCGTTCGGAATCCTTCGTTGCAACTGCACTCGAAGCCACCTTCCGTGTTCACGCATTTGTGGGTGCAGTTGTCCTTCAGTTCCAGGCATTCGTCGACGTCGACGCAGGTAGCATTGTCCTGAACGGATAGCTCGAATCCCGATGGACACTCGCAGCTGATGGAACCGTTCGCGAAAGCGCATATGTCCGAGCAGCCACCGTTGTTGATGAAACACTTGTTCTCGTAAACGCAAAGTAGTTTATCTTCCGAGAGGATCATTCCGTCCGGACAGGAACAGGACACATCGCCGTTCTCGTACAGGCAATCGTGGGAACATCCACCATTGTCCAGGAGACACTTATTCCGTTCCAGGCAAACGGTTCCGTTTTCCGACAGGATCATTTCCGAAGGACAAGAGCAAAACACTCGTCCGTCGTCTGAGTTACAGAAATGGGAACAGCCACCGTTCTCCACGTAACACTTATTCTCCTGGACACAGGTGGAATTGTCATCCTCGAGGATCATTCCTGATGGACAGAAGCAGGTCGCTGTTCCATTCTCGTAGCGGCAGAGATGAGAGCAGCCAGCGTTGTCGATCAAACATTCGTCGATCTCCACGCAAGTTTTTCCGTCGTCTTCCAGCAGTCTGTAATTATCCGGGCAAGCACACTCGACGCCACCGTCTGTATTTGCGCACAAATGAGAGCAGCCACCGTTGTCCTGGATGCACTCGTTGATGTCCTCGCAGCTCCTTCGATCGTCGGCCAGTCGATAACCGTTCGGACAAGTACACTCGAAGCTGCCCTCGGTGTTGACGCAGGAATGAGAGCAACCGCTGTTTACCTCGTTGTTCCCCTCTTCGCATTCGTTTCTATCCTGACAGTTTCTCCTGTCGTCGGACAAAACATAACCGGCCGGGCAGCTGCAGAGGAAATCATCCGGGCCGCTGACACACTCGTGGGAGCAACCGTGTTGACCAGCGCAAAAATCAATTTCCTCGCACGTCCGACCGTCGGAGGTTAATTTCAAGCCGGCCGGACAGTCGCATTTGTAACCTCCGTCTACGTTCACGCACGCGTGGCTACAATTGTGTGCTTGGCCGCACTGGTTCGCGTCAGCACAGCTCTTATTGTCCCGTCCAAGTGCCAGACCCTCGGGGCAGGAACAAGCGTAACCACCGTCTAAGTTCTCGCAGCTATGGGAGCAGTGATGTAGCTTCCTGCCACACTCGTCGATGTCCTGACAAATCTTTCCCTCCTCGGTCAGCTCGTATCCATCCGGACAAGCGCAGCCGAAGCTGCCTTCGGTATTTAAGCAACCGTGAGAGCAACCAGCGTTATTTTCGAGGCATTCGTCGATGTCCTCACAGCTGGTTCGATCTTTCAAGCGAAAGCCGGAAGGGCAATCGCAGTAGAATGATCCTTCCGTGTTCACGCAAGTGTGACTGCACGAATGAAGATCCTCGACGCACTCGTTCACGTCACCGCAAGTCCTCTCGTCGCTTCCAAGTTGGAATCCTTCGGGGCAGCCGCAGCGAACTTCTTCTCCATCTTGCTCGTACGTGTGAGAGCAGTTGCGATCGCCAGCTATGCGACAGTTCCTTAAATCCTCTTCGAGTTTCCATCCCGCCGGGCATGTACAATTGTATCCACCGACGACGTTTATACACCCGTGAGAGCAGTTATGCTTGTGCCGAGAACCTCGACACTCGTCGATGTCCAAGCACGCACCAAGCTCCATCGAGAATTCCTGTCCTTCGGGACAAGAGCAATTGTACGTTCCTTCGAGATTTATACAACCGAAAGGACATCCGTGATTCTCTTCGGCACACTCGTCGATGTCGATGCAACTTTGATCGTCCTCGGCGAGTTTCAATCCTGCAGGACATCTGCACTCGGGCTGCGAACCATCAGCCACGCAGAAATGAGAACAGGACGCGTTCGAGCAAGGATCACCGACGCACGTGATGTTGTCATCGGATAAGACCCATCCCGAAGGACAGGAACAACGATAGGAACCGTGTACATTGTGACACGAGTGCGAACACTGGTGATTCTCTTCCAGACACTCGTCGATATCCTGGCACTGACCTGCGTCGTCCTGTCGAAGACCCTCGGGACACGAAGGATCCTCGCAAGTCAATCCATCCTGCAGTAGCTTCAAACCTTCCGGACAGACGCATTTGTAGCTTCCCAGAGTGTTCACGCAGTCGTGAGAACAGTCGTGTTCGTCCTCCAGACACTCGTCAAAGTCCTTGCACGTTTTTCCATCGTCTTGCAGGGTGTATCCTTCGGGACAACCGCACTTGAATGTATCCCCTTCTTTCTCGCATACGTGGGAACAATTTGCCAAGCTACACGCGTCGATCGTCAGGCAGGATATTTTATCATCCGCCATGGACATTCCAGCAGGACAGGCGCACTCGTAAGATCCTGGCAGGTTGACGCATTCGTGAGAACACTGATGCGTACCATCGAGACACTCGTTCGCGTCCTGGCACGATTTAGTGTCGTTGCCAAGGAAGAAACCATCGGGACAATCACACTTGTAGCCTCCTTCTCGATTAATACATTCGTGGGAACATGCATGTTTATTCGTCGCACACTCGTCCAGGTCCTGGCAGGTGAAACCATCTGCAGATAACTCGTATCCATCGCGACACATGCACTCGTAACTACCTGGAACGTTCAGACACACCTGAGAACACTGATGTTCGCTGCTCGAACACTCGTCTATGTCCAAACAAGTCTTCTTGTCTTCGTTCAATCTGAATCCAGGTCTGCAAGTGCAAACGTAGCTTCCATGAACGTTTGTGCATTGGTGTTCGCATCGATGAAGCGTGTTCGAGCACTCGTCGATGTCCGTGCAATTGAATTTATCGTGTTCGAGCGTTTCCAAACCTTCGGGGCAAAGACATAGGAAACTGCCCTGGTAATTCAGGCAGGAGTGTGAGCATAAGTCCAGGGTACACTCATCGATATCAGAACAGCTTGTACCGTCCTCCAAAAGCTGATATCCTGTTGGGCAAACGCAAATAGGACCGTCCTTTGATTCCTGACACTCGTGAGAGCACGGTGTTATCAGAGTCTGGCAGGTTCTCGTTGGAACGCAGCTAACGTTATCCTCTTTCAAGTCGAATCCAGAGGGACACGTGCACGCGTACGAGCCGTCTGTGTTGTTGCAACCGTGAGAGCAAAGAGACGCCGTTCCCTTGCACTCGTCGATATCGTTACAGGATACACCGTCTTCGCGCAGCTCGAATCCTAGACGACAGACGCAGTAATAACCACCTGGTTCGTTCACGCACTCGTGCTGGCAACCGTGAGGCTCCCCTTCGTCACCTTCCACGCACTCGTCGATGTCTGCCGGGAGAAAGTGGAAAGTGTTTGCGATCGAAAGAGAGGGGAAACGTTAATTATCCTATCGAGTTTTAAAATAAAATTTACGAACCGATACACTCGCCGTTGTTATTCTTCTTGTAACCTTCCTCGCACCTGCCGAATTCCGGGACCTCCGTGATACCTTCTTCGTCGTATTCGTCGTCCCCGTCGTCGTCGTCGTCATCCTCGGCATCGTAGTCCTCGTCCTGAAGGACTTTCGTCATTTTCTGTGGCTTACCGACGCATCTGTACGATCCGATAGTATTTTCGCAATCGGTATTATTCGTGCAAACCTTCGACGCGTTTTCGCACTCATTCACATCTGATAACACGATAAATTATAAAATGGCATAGATGAAACTTTGAAATACCAGATGACACCGTTACCTTGGCACGTCTTCGAATCGTCGGTTAAATAAAAACCATCCGGGCAAAGGCAGAATGCGCTCCCAGGTGTGTTCAAGCAGATATGGGAACAACCAGCGTTGCTCGTCGAACACTCGTCGATATCCTCGCAGGTGTGATTATCCAGGGCCAATTTGTGACCAGGAATATCGGAACAGCTACACTCGTAGCTTCCTTCTAGATTGATGCAACTGCCCTGGCACGGACCGTGCCCGTTATTCACCAGGCACTCGTTAATGTCTGAACGAGAACAAGCAACCTTGTGAATTGCTTTAGCAATTGGAAAACGAACAAGAAACCACCTAAATTCGCTATTTATTTCCCGATTAATTGCCCGCCAGGATAAATCGTGAAATAAAGATTTTAAAACACCACTGCTGTATCTTCGATTATTTGTAAATAGAAAGAAATAAATGGAGTATCATTGGATAAAATAATTGAGAAATTGTTCAGATTATATTTACAATTCCACGATTATTATTGAATTATTAAAAATTAGTAACAAACGTAAAAGCCATCGAATCGAATGAAAAGGCTATTCGAATCAAAGGAAAAAGGAATTAATGATTACGTGTATCTATAATAGCTGCCTGATTGTTTGAACACCTGTTAAGTGTACTTTCAATTATCCATGCATTGATTCAATTCAGCTTCAATCGAACTATCCTGTAAAATCAATATACGTTCGTTTGATTTTCCACGATACGAACATTTCGAGGCAACGATAGTTTGAAATGACCATTTGATTAAATTACTCATTTATATGACGCTAATTCAACCGATACAAAAGATAATGAATTTTGCAGAAAAATTATTATCTTCCTTGCAACTAACAAATTTCTTTTAAACCTCAAAAGGAATTAATCTCTTTTTGGATGTATTACTAGGACACCCTATGTATTAAGAAACACCAAACGTCCAAAGACGATCAAACGTGTCAGATTTATTCCGTTTCGTTAAATCGACGTTAACGGGGTTACACAGGGAAATTCGTTTCGAAAGCCTTTCGTCTGGATAGTTAACTAGAAATTTAAACGTCCTCGCGTATTCGAGATGCAGAATATTTTATTTCGTCTAATTTCAACGTTAACGAGTTTGGATTGCCTAAAGTGCACGGTAAAACGCGTCCAAATACACGAACCGCAATGGTTAACTTTTGCTCCGATTCGCTTGAAAAATTTCAGAAACGTTCGTCGTTTTCATCTTATCTAGTTAGAGCAACGAACGTATAGGACCGCTAGAAAATTTCATTACATCCATTAAAAGGTAAGTCGGAAAAGTCATGCACCGAATGCAGTGTCTACTATTTTGTCCGGCAAACGCTAAGTGGCTGTACACGGGAACACTTTGCCTTTGAAGTCGTCGAATTAGAGAAAAAGAATAAGACCATGTGACGGGTAGAGAAGTTTGGAAGCGACGAGCGTAAACCCTAGTTTACATTGGTAGAGTAAATTCTAGAGTATACTAGAGCGTAAGTAACATGCCTGCGTACTCTACCATCCCATTTTTGGCTAAAAGTCGTTTATATGCAAACCGAAAATAAAGCAGCGTACAGGATAGTGTACATAGAAGTGAACACGGTACAATAAACTCCAATCGACGGACTCTGTTGTAAAAAAAAAAAAATTTTTCTAAAGGACTCTTATCAGAGGAATAATTTGATTTTCATCTTTCGCGAAGTTTCTTCAATCGGAGTCAAAGAAGTTTTGTAAAAGAGTATTAATTGTTAATTATTAATTTGATCGAAAGATTCAGTAGAGACTCCTGAGCACAGGTACCAATTTTTATTTTAAAAAATTTTTAAAGTAATTCAATTTCTTGATTAAGGAACTGAAGTAAAATTAAATTATATAAGAGCGCTTAAATTACTCTCAAACGTTCTCCACCTTTAATGACTGTTTCAAGGTTTTTAAATATTCAAAATGTAGTAAAAATTGATACCAGTGTCGACTGGTTGATAAAAGAAGAAACAGAGTTCTGTAACTCACCGTTGCACGATTTGCCATCGGCACCCAATTCGTAACCGGAACGGCATTCGCAACGAAAAGAACCAGGATCGTTGTGACAAATTTCAGCACAACCAGCTGAACCTTCTGTGCATTCGTCTATGTCTGAAAAATATCGTTGAAGAAATTTATAAAAATCACGGTACATGCTTATCCGTTCCATTTGCGAGATGTAAGTAATGCGTTAAACTGTACTGAATATACATTTTAAAGAATTCGTTTAAAGAGATCGAGATTCCACGATTTATAAAACGCCCGTTCAGAGGTTGTACCCCCTTTTTCTCGCACGTTGAGTTACACGCCTCCATAGCTTTAGATCCACTGTAGATTTCCACGAAGCATGGGAATGGACTTGTCGGAGTATAGATTTTAAGGGTGGAAAATCGTAAACCTCCGTCACGTTACCCTTATTCCACGCGACAACCATAAACCATGTCTCGATTTTAGATCAACACCAAAAAATACAAAAATACTGCAATTTTAAACCATCATAGTGATACAAGAAAATGTAACATCAATATGTTAACATAATAATGCAACTAAATTAAAAGTAAAAAATTAATATATCGCGCTTATTTATATAAAATTAGCTAAATTTTTAGAAAATTGACAGACAGAAAAAATTTGTATTTCTTTTTTGAATAAATTCTTGTACTTCACTCTGTCGATTCAGAGTGGTTTTTATAAAATTCCATGAATACGTTTTTCGTCGAAAGGCAAACAATGCTGGCGATTACACTGTTCGAAATGAAACATAAATCACCTATGCAGGAAGATCCATTGGCGCGGAATCCGTCGAAGCACGAGCATTTCACACCTGTCTCAGTGTCTTCGCACACATGCTCGCAGCCACCCCTGTCCTGATTACAACGTTTCAGGCTCTTCAGCGTCGTTTCTGGAACAAAAGATAATGAATTTTTCGCGATGCGAACTCGTACGGTTATCTCAACCGACATTCCATCGACGAAGGGTGGATTTTAAACTGATTGATATTTCTCCAAGTCTTTCATGATTGCACCGACGAGAAATGGGACAAGATGAAAGTTTCAAATTAATAAGACAAGTAATGAATTTTAAATACTTTTATGTTGTACAATCCATTAGTACATAATTACTGACTTACCACCCTCTTTTACACAGCGCGGAAGACCGCCTAACCAAGTACCATCACTGCAGAAAAGTCGATCAGCCGTTGAATCCTCGAAAACAAACCCCTCCGTACAATCGTAGATTGCCACAAGGTATCGATTGTACGGCGGCAGTACATTCTTTCGTCTGAAAAAATATTTCAGCCGTCTTCAGAGAAAATCAACAAACTGTATCACTGTTTTTTGATAAATAAAAATAAATCTATCAAGGTTCGATCAGCAATTTTTCAATCACCCTTTATAAAAATTTTATTTCATCGTTAATCTTAAGAAGTACTTAATGAGATTTAAAATTATCCATGAAGTTTCATTAATATCCCCAAAGAAGGTACCTTAGAGTCTCCTTGTTTTCACAGTGTTAATCTACTTAAACCTCGACGCTATTTAACTTCCAACTTTTACTTCTGAAGAATTTTATAATTGACGTTAAACAGATTTTGCTCTGTAGGTAGAAATTTATTATGAAATATCATCGTTAGATTAATATGTCGAGTACCATGTAGCCTTATTCTGGATAATCTTCATAAGACCTCTATGTATGCCCGCTTTCTGTACGCGCTTATTCTACTGTGCCTGACTATACGTATACCTCTTTCACTGTAACGCCCGACGCACAGTAGAACTAGAGTCTGAATGCTGTCAGACGTGAATAAAGGAACATTATTTTATTATATGCAATATTTTATTTTAAACGAAAGATTATTGATCTCGAAAAGAAATGAATTATTTGAATAAATACATGTTCGTTTTTCCGAAATAAATGGAATAATTGGAAAAATTCGTTTTATTAACGCAGTGTAATTAAAAGAATATCGTTGAGAAAATGAAAATGAAAATGAATTTAAAATAAAAATAGATCCTAAATCCACACGCTGAGTTAACGAAGATTTCATTCAAATTTTCATCTATTTATCCTACGTTCTAATTGAAATAGAAATTGTAAGTCCTCGTTAATTTTACTCGAAAACTTTTCTATCCGGGGTATAAAAAGTTTACGAAGAAAGGCAACAAAATGTACAGTGAGATGAGCGAAAACAAGATAAAACTCGACCTTCCTTTTTTTTTCTTTTTTCTTCCTTTTCGCGGTGTCCCTGGGTTAAGAGATACAAACCTGGCATACTTGGCGGGATATGCATTTTCAACCGGGGGAGCTTTCGCAAATCCTTTCTTGCGGGCTTTCATGAAGCAGCTCAAATCCAACCTCGACATTATTGTTTCATTCAGGCCCGAGACCGTTGACGCCAGAGGCGACCCAGCCAAAGACTTCTCGACGATTTGCTTTTGCCTCTGTTTCCTTTCCTTCGCTTTTCTACGTTTCTTCAGCTCGCCGATTCTCTTGCGCGCTTTCAGCCGTTCCCTCGCTGCTTTTTCCTCCGCCGGTGTCGTTGAAATTGGATCATCGCCGAGATAAAGATCGTTGCGAAAGTGTCGGAATCTGTTGTCTGAACAGAAGAATCGCGGTTGAAACGGGGCCAATTAGACGGGTCGTTTCCCGGGATAATCCTAAGCTCCTTAACGAAGAATTATTCAAAAGGAAGATGTAAAATTTGGTGAACGAATCGGGTAGAAAAACGATAGAAATAAAAAGTTCGCCATTTTCAGGCGATTTCAAAATTAAATATTTCTCTTTGACGAATATCGCGTACGCGTTAGCTCGTTAATATTGTTTATTGGGAAACCGAAACCAGGCGACAATTGGTCGTCGCGGTTGCTACCGGCTGCGCTTGGGTGTCCTCTTACCTTTCGAACGTACGCTTTCGACACGGTGAAGTTCACTTTAACACGCGGATATCCCGGATAACCGAGAGCAACAGCAACTCTGTCTGTTACGTAAGTGGTGTACGGACGAAATCCAACGATATGTTCCATTTCCTAGCTAGAGAGTTCGCAATAATAACGCGGCAAACTTCTACAACCATTCCGCCCACGAGTTTGCTCTATCAAAGAACGGGACTTCAACCCTTCCCCTACACTGTCCGTTGTGTAATAGCTGTAAAATTTCTTTCTTACTTATTTAATTTTAATAATTCAGTAAGTTCTTTGAACGGCGGACCATGGAAAGTGGCACAACTCTAATTTAATTCTATACCTCGTATTATTTTGATTTTCTAAATTTTATAGAAAAAAAATAGGTCCAAATAGAGCCAGTCTCAGGGCTACAAAGGTTAATCGATAGCCTGACGGCGCAATTGAAATTGTTCGAGACCGGTGATCTCGATTTTCAGCCAGGATGATTTCGAAAGTTCCTTCATTTCGAGCACAATCGTCCTGTTATCGAGTTTTACAGGCTGAACGAACGCTTTGTCATCACGGACTGCGATTAATCGAGCGAGGTTTGCGACGAATCGTCTCTGTGGAAGCATGCCGTAGGTAGATTGAAGCCGACTTTTCTCATTAGGATTACTAGAACACTCCGCGTTTCATTGTGCATGGAACAATCTGCTCTGGATAATTGCTCTAACCGTGTTGATACACGCGAAGACCCGAAATTTCTCATACGTCAGAACATATACCATCCGCTCGTTTGGATTATAGAGAATTATATGAAGAACTAGCTCGTTGCGACGAACATTTCGCGTATCAATTAGCCTTAACTTCTTACGTAGACGTGTCTTTTCCAATTCTGTACCATTCGTTCATTGATTCGTTAAAAATAATAATCGTTACTCATCGACTGTTAGTTTTTAATTAAAATTTAATTAAAATTCTGTTTCATGCATGTGCGCTTTTTGTAAAGCAAGCGTGCCAGGAATATGGATCAGTTAGCTGTTGGTTCATGGTGTTAAAACAAAATCCTCATCTTAATTATCTTTTCTATATATAGACCGGCGGTCACAAGACTGGATTCTGACCGCACACGTAATGTAATGTGCTTCCTGTTCAGGGTTGGGTCCGCAAATCGCCAACGCACTTAATTTACACGCGCATGCACACGATTATAACAATTCTACAGTCACACAAGCTGATTTCACGATACTCTTTACTATTTCGTTTTCTATAACATTACATATTTAAAGATATCGATGACTTATTAATGCAACCATAAATTACTAGTAATAATAATACCTGTCCATTTGTTTAAATTGAATAAATCATTAATTTTAACGTTAATTATATGATCACAATGAATTACCGAAGTTTCGAATATAATTTGAAACCTGGTTTAATTATCACCGACAAGATATCTGGGTAAACTGAAATTAATTAAAAGGTATGTTTGTTTCATGGTTGATTACATTAATTATGTATTTATAAATACACTTTCCTTAATTAAATAGCAAATTTCGAAATGTATAAAGTCTGTAATTATCAATTGATTATAAACGACAGAATGAATTAATTCCTCAGGAGGATTAACGGATATACATCGATCGATACACAAATTCCTTTAAGAGACACCAAGGAGCATAGAGCAAGTTTCTGCAGTTAGGATTTCAAAGTTGCAATTAGTACTGTCATGATCTGAAAGCTCCAACTACAAGTCGCTGCTTAAAACACCGCTAGACTGAAGTTTCAACGTTGAACCTCGTTATCATCAGTGACTAACAATAATTTCCGTGTAATTATTTAAAATAAATAAAGAACGCAATCTATAATTAAAATTATTATCACGTTTCATGAATGAATGTATTGTCACTTTGGTTCGTGAAAGTTTCGTAGTTATTTTAGTCACGAAGACGAATAGTTTCATAGGAAAACATGATATTTAGGATCAGAACGAATTCGAGGCATGTTACGCCCCTGAATTTCGTGCCCCTAAAGCACGCCGAATGGAACAACATGGGGCGACGCTTACACGAGAGGGCACGTTCCTCAACCACTGCTCGACAAATTTCCAAACCACTCCAGGAACGTTCCCGAGTTCTCCGCGATCGTGGACTATTTCGACGGTAGACCACCGAATCGATCGAGAATCGACGGTATCCTCAACAATTTCCGCCTTCTTGTTCGTGCAGCGACCTTTGGAAAGCGCGAGCTGCTTGTCCTGCTAAAGTATTCTTACCCCACGCTCGAAACACGTTGTATTATTAAAATATTATTAATTCTAAAATGCTTAAGAGTATTTAAATTATTTTAATTTAAAATAAAAATTAATTCAAAAACTTATTTTGTATTTAAAAAATTGCTAAATAAATCCTAGACAAAATGAATCCTTGTATACAGGATTAATTTTTATTATTATAACTGAAAAGTACGAATAACAAAGAAAATTTTTCCGGCGTATGTGTAAGTGATGGGGGGTCATAGACTTATATATTTACGGGATCTCTTTCGCGACACTGTCATGTACAAAAATGATCCTTCAGGACCTCGTACTCTGTCAACGAAGCCAAAGTCTCTGGCGTCGATGTTGAAAATCGACCGCAGACGATAACAATAGCCTGTATCGAAGTCGAACGTCCAGAAAGAATAAACCTAGCTCGATGCTGTGCACGTCGAACACGGGTTCAGAATTTTTCTGACGATGACGTTGCACGAAATCAGTGGTCCCTTTGTCGTACAATCTTTTCGAGTCACGAGCTCCTCCAACTCGATGAAATCATCCTTTCGAAGTACCATTGAGAGCAGCAAAGTTGTCGCAATTGTGTGAAACGAAGAATCCACTTGAAGCCTTACAACTTCTCGATTGGTAAATCAAAAGAAAAAGAAAAAAAAATTTTCTAATCGAAATGATTCGTTCCACAGGGCGCAAGGTATTTTAAATAAAGAAGAAGAAGAAATGTACAGCACAGGATTGTTTCAATTAGAGCGAACACAGAGAAGAAAAACGAAAATTCTCTAATATCGATTCGCAATCTCACGACCGGCCAGAAAGTGTGACTCTGATCTAGACCAGAAGATTTAATGGTCACACGGGAAAACGCGGGAATTAAAATCCTCCCCGCATGGCGGATTCGTCCTGGTAACAGGATCGGCTGTTAATTTTACTTGGATCGTGAAGTTAATTGGGTTTTCGAGGAGCGAATAGCAACGAGTCGGTGTTTCCGGTTACGCAATTTCAATATGGAAAGCTAAAACGTTGACTTTTAACCAGTCACAACGTTTCCAAGGTACAACTTTTCTTTAAAAAAAAAAAATAATAATAATAACACCTTGAACGCATTAAATTAATAATATGATTACTCGTGTAAAATGTATAAGAAATGATATGAATCGTGATGTAGTTAGATTGAGCAATTTACAATTCTGTTACTTTTTATGCCATTGATTTAACATGCATTACACTGGCGGTACACAGTAATGAAAAAGAGGATGTAAATCGAGCGATTTCAGGGGCGGAAATTAAAGCGGAGGCTGTAGCGTGCATTCAGTACGATTCGTTCAGCAACATTTTATTTTAATTCCAACTTTTCGCAGTCACGTTCAGGACACGCTCTTAATGGGACATTGCTTAAAACTCGACTAATAATTCCGCTATTGTTACCGAATAGAAGCAGAAAATTTAATAGTGTAAATAATAACACCTTCTGAATTGAATTTAATTTAAAAAATATAAAATCCTTCCCCGATTTTCCGGGGAGAATGACAGTGTCGCGAAAAAGGCCCCGATATAAAATTTGAACTAATATTTTAATCTTTATTCGTACTTTTCATTTATATACTAAATTTTATAATAGATAATGATAAAAAATTATACTATTTCTTTTTCTAAATTACCTTTAATATGAATATTGTAAGAATTAGGGTTTTTAGAATCCCCATTTTCCCTAAGGAAAGCCAATTTTAATTGCGAGTGTATACGAAGTAGGAAACGTTTTTCGTGAAATAATTTCGGAACAATTGCACAGCATGAGAAATGCTCGACGAGCGAAGAAACTCAGGAAGGAACCGAGCTATGGTAACCACCATTAACCAATGTGCTTTGTCCTTCAACAAAAGGAGGACAACCGTGTTCCTCGTATCTCGCAGTCTTTTTGAACGATCCTTTCCCGTGATTCTACAAAATTTCGGAACTCCTACGGATAATAATACGGGGGATAATTCCTTTAAAATACAGCAAAGTTCAGCGAAGAAAATGCTTCGGGACGAAAGCCAAGGGAGAAGAGATTTTCCGAAGCCGAACACAACTTTTCGACGAAACTTGAAGAATAGTTTCCACGAGAACGCGACCGTAGAAATTCAAACATGAAACGACTAAATGTGAGAGAAAATATTTCGAATTGAGATAATTTCAGACGGAAAAATGACTGAACCAATAGAAAGTTTCTTGAAAAAAAGATTTTCTTCGGGAAAACCTCATCAAAAGAATATCCTAAACTCGAAAATTTAAAAAATTATGATTGCAAATAAAATTTCCTGCAATTTAATTTTTTTTTACTTTTTTTAATTCCAAAATGTATATTCCATATAACTACTAAATCCTCTGTATTTCATAAAATTGCTCTACCTTGTTTCAACTGTATAACTTTATTTACTATAATTTTGAAATATCCTTCGAGTACCATATTTTAATTCCGATGTTTCGTTCGTTCAATAATGTCGAGTGGAAATTTATGAAGGGAATATCGTTTCCAAAAATTAACGACCGCGTTTATCTAAATTTGACAATCAAGAGCTTTTCGAGGTGCAACGGGTCATTTGGCACCAAACTGATCAATTTACATCATCGATAACAGGGATTTCGTTGAAACTGAAATATAATGAAAGCTCGAGACAAATGAAATGAAGTTCAAATGAAAGTGCAACGTTCCGGTGGACGAAAATCGTTCAAAGGAGTCGAAAAAATTTCAAAGAGGTCAACGTACCGTGGAATTTTGTGGACGGAGAAAGTTTTTTCATCGTTCGTGGGTGAAACAATTTTTAATTTTCAACCAGGAAAGCAATGACCTGCTGTACCACCTTTACCTATATCGGCGCACAAATCTGAGTTTAAAATTTTTTTCCCTCCCGTTGGAAAAAGTAAAATAGCAGAACAGTACCGGTGGAAGAGGAAAAAATGTCAAATTTAAAAATATCCTTTACTATACAGTGTTTAAAATGAATATACTGACAGAGGTCTTGATCTACGGCTGCATCCTTTAATTATTTTTAATTGCAAAGTTTCGACAATTACTCGACGATTATTATTACTAAAGTTTATTCACCAGCTGTACGTTCATTATTAAATTATTAAATGCTTGACAACCTGAACATCATAAAGTTTGCATTAATATTGCAATTTAATAATATTTATTTGCAATCGTAACTCTACGTATCGACTATCAGAAGTTTTATTTATTCAAGGTAAATATTGCTCGCATATTTACCTTACTTTTGTTTGCATCGAATCTGTTATCGAAAATCAACAAAGCGATATTTAGAAAATTCGTGTTTTGCATTTTTGCGTTTATTCGCGCGAATGCGGGAAGAATAACCGTGTTGGACGTGAAAAGTAAAAGGTTTCAACCCTTCCGATTTCACGCGATTTCATTCTCTGAACTGTCGCAGATGCGATGCCGGTAGGTCTGGAATCCGCACGCATCCGACCGCAAACGTTGGCCAATGTCTTCCCTTGTACAAATTGCGAATCTCCTGTCCCATCGCACCTTTCACCTCGAACAGGCCGGAACGAGAGGTCAGCCAGGAAGAGAAGAAAAAGACCGGCGGAGGACTGCGGTTCCAGAAGACTTCCGTGAGGGAACCACTCTCTCGGACGAGATTCTTTCGTGGTTATTCTACAACGTCCTCTGTTCTTGAGGCTTTCATGGCCTCGTTTCTCTTCTATAGGAACCTATTATTAGCATAGACTTCCGGGTATAAACTCTATCGAACGAGATACCACGAATTTCCTAATATTTCATCAAGACTCTAATAACCGCCAAAATTTTTCTAATTTTTCTATTCCTTTTTATATTAATCAGAGAGTTCTAAAATATTATTCCAAAGAAAGAGAACCTCAAAAAGAGCAAGAAAATGTTTGACATATCTCTCGATCGATTCAAACAGAAACGGACACAAAAAGAACCGATTTTCCACGTGTTTGATAAATCATACCTTTAAGTCGGAACTTTCCCGGTCGAATATTGCGTGTTGTTTTAACAACGGCGGGATGAACGCGACGCGGGCAAAACTACGCGTTCGCCTCAATTAATGCGGAAATAAAATTCCATTAAGGCAAGCGAGGCGGTTTAATCGAGATCCGGTTTAAAAACGGAATCGAATTAAAGCCGTTGAAATTCATTATTCGACGTCGGTACCGATGGTTATTCGGCACAGGATTCTCAGCTTTTACGATGCTCGATACTTCGAATCTCTCGTTAAATATCGAGGGAAGGAGGGATCTTTCGTTGGCCAATTTCTATTACGTCGTTGTCCTTTCGTGTTCCAATTAATCGTACGTCCTCGATAACAAGCGACGCGTGAAGAGGTATCCCAGTGTTTTGACAATTGACAAATTCTGTACACAATCCGGTTTATCCAGTGAACTGTTCACCCTTTACGCCGGTCAATTTTAATCTCTTCTATGTAAAAGGTTACTGTTTTTTATTCACCGACCATGGAGCACGTTTTCAATCTCTACAGTGGACAAAATTGGTTCGCGTTGTTTGGCAATGTAGCGAAATAAACAAAATTTTCACTCTCCTTCTCAGACTGTAACGTTGCAATTGATTTGAAAAGCTGTTAGTTTTGGAGAGGCAGGGTGAAAATGAAAAAATTGATTGGAGAGCTGTCAGGAATAAAATAAATGTGGCTTCATCTCTGAAATCGTTTTAATTAAAAGAAAATACGTTAAAGTTAATAACCTGACGTTGCGATGTATGTAGATCTCTACTAATTATTTACTTCTTTTAATTAATTCCATGATCTCAATATTTATTTTAATTGAAATGCTCGCTAGCTTTCCTCGGATCAAATCTCTTAATAATGCAACAGTTGTATTTTTAATTCAAAAATAAAATATTTATCCTAAAACCTGCTCACGCTCCTCGAAATCTCTACGATCAATCATCCGGACGTACGTACATAAATCAATCTGTCAGGTCCAGAGTTCATCTTCAACGTTGAATCATGGTTACACTTGATGTTCAGTGGCCGACAATCAAGTTTTCCCATCCATAAAAACAATTTCTCAGCGAGTTTTACGAGCGCGGCACCGAAAGTGGCTGGTCCTTCGGCTCGTCGTGGAACGAGGAAGATAAGCGCGGACCACATTTTCTGCTTTCACGCGAACAGATTCTACGGTTTCGCGGTCGCAGCGCCGGTCATGTTGACAAACGAAAGAGGCAAACCGCTCTACCTAAGCTAGCACGTCGCTGATATCTCGCTTCCTTTGACGGCCAACCGCCGTGCAGAGATTCGATGTCTCGGTCTGTATGCTCTTCGAGGCTTGAGCAGAGTACTGTGACCTCTCCATCTTCTTAAACCACTGCCCCGATGAGTCTCTACTTCGTACAACCGATTTCGCCGAGCGTATCGAGTCGCTAACCCTTTACCAGTCATTCGGAATGTGTCTCACCGAGGAACATAATGATTGTACAGTTTCTTAATAAAGAGCGTCGAGTGTTTTAAATCTTAATTCAATTTTTCAACTTCTTTAAGTATGAAATTCGACAAACTGTAAATAAAGTTTTCTTAGTCAGCAGAAATAATGTATTATCATCATTGGCTTCATTGGCGACGCGATTCCAAAAATTTTTAAAACGATTCGCAAAGAAAAAGCACCCCTGCTTTTTTGTTCTAGTACTTTGCAAAGGAGTAAGATACACATTTGAAGAAATATCTTACAATTCTTTTTTATGCTTCTCCGCTTTCTAATTATTATTCAGCTAGTGGAACGGAGTACGAGGGTACAGGGCAAAGGTCCAATGCTAATGAAGCTACTATTTCTTCTCGAATGTTGGCATTGCGGTGTAGGTGGCAGTTATTAGGAGTTTTAGGAGGGTGAAACTCTGATGATTCATAACTTCTTGATTAGAAATTTTTGCCAAAATACCGAAGCTATCTGCGTAGACCACCGTGAAGGGAAGTAACAGTGCGCTTGGAATAAGCTACCATTTCCGAGAGAAGAAAATCCACGCCTGTTCGCGGCGTGTGTACATCGCGACCGTTCGGATGGAAAAGAAAGATGTCGTCTTGCTTCACGAATGCAACGCGCGAGGCCGCAGCAATAAATCAAAGCGAAATCCCGTTGCTTTCGATTCCGAAGCAAAGGGGTGCTGCTTTTCAGGTCCACGGCCCCTGGGAGGTGTCGCGGTACGAAAAAGCCATTCGTCATCCCTGCCCGCCATACCTTTCTTCTTTCTTTTCTTCGCGAACACCTCGAAAGCCCGAACGTCTTCGAAACCACCCACCCATCCCGTGACCGTTTGCTCTTCTCCGCTTCCGTCTTCTCTCCTTCTTTTATTTCTTTACCCGCTTCGCGTCCTACGGAGATCTCTCTTGATCCGTGAATCCGCTTGTCGGTTTAACTTGGCAAGGATACAGAGAGACTCTGGTTTAATGGACCCAAAGGCTTACCGAAGCTGAGAACCGTTGCTCGAATTGGCCAACGACAGGGAAGGATTATATGTTATTGGTGACGTGTGTCCGATGCAAAGGGGTGCTTTGAAGATGCTGACGATTTTCGACAAGATCATTAATTGCTTTAATCTCTATTTGATGACACGAAAATATCGCGAAGTATTCGTGGTTCATTTTTTCGGACGGCGGACCATGGAGAAAGACCCGAGTTCAATGTAACTTCGTATTTCATAGTATGTACCTACTTTGTTATTTAACCGATCTTGTTAATTGAATAAAATTTAATTAACATTAGTATGTGTAAAAGTTGATAGTTTCAGTGAGTTGAATTGAAGAATTGCATTAGCCAAAAGAAAAGATACGACATGAAATAAAAAGTGGATATAACATCGGAATGGGGCGTCTTAAAGCACCGAAGCACGTCGTGGAAAGTGAGCGTAAAAAAAATTATGCTTTCTTCCGAACGATATCATCACGAGTCAAGTGGGTCGTTTGCAGTATTATTACGTCGACGTCTGGCAAGATACTTGGATCGAGATACATGTCGTGACATTATAGTAAAGTGCAGCAACACCTTGAATGCCAAACTGTTCTTTCGATCCGATATATGTATTATAAAAAATGAAATTCTATTAATGCGATGTAATACCAACGCATAACACACTCATGAAAAATGGAGGGACATATCAATTTTAATGAATTTTCAATTAATCGAATCCAACAAATCTACAAGCAAAAAGAAATAAAATTTCATCTATGAGAACTTTGTACTAAAAGCAAATAAACAAGAACGACACGACGTTTGCTGCTTCATTTAAGAGAGAAATAAAAGCAAGAATTTACGGGGACATATTTAGCTTGGCTACGGGCAAGAAGCGTGTAAATTAAAGTGCTCCTCCTCACTTACCGTAAGGGACACATTTCGGGATAGGATGATTCCAACCGTTCACTGTGCATGTCAGTATTTTATGACCCTTCAATCTACGGCCTGGTTCGCATGAGTACACCGTCTGCAGAGTGCCATCTTTAAGAACTCGTTCTCTCACGGTGCCCCATTGAGGTGGTTGTACCAGGGGACAATTGCTGAGAACTCCTGCAAATTAAAGCATCGGGATAGATGCATTAATTGTTCAAATTAAATTAAATTAAACCATTAAATATTTCTAAACAATTTTGATTTCTGTTATAGTATACTTTAATTATCTTATTTGCAGAAAAAAAAATCATAAATTTTATTGAAATAATTATATTGATAATTATCGTTTTACTGAAATTGCATAACGAAATAGATTCAGCAATTACGTGTTTACCAGTTTGATAGTCTTATTCATCTGGCGTATCTGAATCAGTCAGAGGAACAAAGTTGTATCCAAAAGGCCGGTATATCGACCGCAGAAGGTTCGTCGTTTAATTAATACCCGAACGTTTACGCTACTTGATTAATATGAAGGCGGGATGGATGTGCGGGTCAATTCTCTATTCGCGTGGCTCAATGTTCCTCAAAGGGCAGAGAAACTTGGCCAAACAAAGCCGCGCTAATTAAATTGATCGCGCACGATAGGATGAAAGAGAGATATAAAGGGTGGAAAAGGGGCTGAACAAGGGTCCAGTAGATATTTCAAATATTTTCGTGTTCTTCCAAAATTCATTATCAAATATAATCAATTTAAATTTGTGAATCTACGCTGAGTGGTTTTATTATTATAATAAGAATGAATATTAATTACCATTCTACTGAAAAAGTGAAAATAAATCTGCTTTGCAAAATTTCAAAGCGTAATTTGAAACTTTCCAAGGGATTAATAATCTGTGCGAAAGTTAAATTATTCAAAATTAAATAAATGGTAGAAAAAGGGTGAAATTCGGTATAAGAAATTTTTCTATGTAGAAGGCTTATTCAGTCGATTTTACGGTAACGCTGTAACAAGTAAGTTGATTCGAGTGGTTTTCTTTTTTCTTTTTACCTCCATGAAAAACGTGTTCCTGTGTTTTTTTCTGGAGGGTGGAAAAAATTTCTCGCTCCAAAAATCAACAGAATCTAACGGCAGGTTGGCGTAAAGCTGGTAAAGAGAACAAAGAAAAACAAGTGGCGGCAGGAAGCTTAAAGTAATTTCTTCACCCCGCAAATTTTCGTGGCCAAATATCGTGCAGCAACCTCCACGGGAAAACAAACGATCACGAGTCTTTTATGGATGCAATCTGCGCTAACTCGGGCCCATTTACTTAATGCAGCTTGCTGCTACTGACTTTCTCTAATTAATGTCACTCGTGATTTCTCTTCCAAAAGGCACGTTGCCCCGTTTTACTATACCAGATCCTACGAAATGTAAAATCAATGGAACAAAATTGAATTTATCAAAGAATTTCTTCATTATTCATCGCGTCTCAAATTTTTCCCTAACGCTGTACCAATGGAATTAACCGAAGACTTTTAGAGGAGAAGAAAATCAGCAGAATATTTTGAATCAACGCAGTACCAAGAGCGGACAATCCAAACCGTTTCAATTTGCATTAAGCGCAAATCCGATAAATGTTATCACCGGGACCATGCAGATTTTGAAATAATGCGGTTCTCCGGCTGCGTCGTTAACGCTGGCAAGCTCAAAGGCAACCCTTTTACGTTGCTCGTGTACACGTTTTCATTCATCGCAACGGTTATCTTTTATCTGGCGCTCTGCAAATTTGATTCACCGTATCCTGGACTTCAGAAACCATGGCCCCGCTATCTCCACCCTGTTAGTTGCACGCTTTTAAACACCGACACACGAGATTCTGGCTATTCAATTAACGAACCGACTCGTGAGAATCGTGGAAATAGATAGAATTGCAATGTTAATAGATAGAAGAAGACTAGAATTACTATTCGCTTTCCTTTCGTCGGCTGTGAAATTCGATTGTTTCCCGGCACATGAAATCTCATCTGATGATGATCCAAAGCTTTTCAAACGTCGTAGGTGTGTAATTGATTGGTAGCTGGTAGCATTGTCGAAGGCAATTCGGGGTGTATTACACGAAGATTACACGGGTCCCCTCAAGTTTACCGACAGAACCGCAATTTGCATAGATCGATAACTAGAGATTACTTACGCGAGAGGTAACCGACCTTCTGACGCTTCGTTCCAGCCTAGCCGCAAAGATTCCATGTTGGTTCAACGACCAAGATTGAGCAAATTTTGGCAATAAAGGCGACATAATGATTAGAAGGTGATATAATAGAGCAGTGTTTCCCAATCTTTTTTGTATCATGCCCCACCTAAGCCTTTCTAAAATTTGCATGCCCCCTATGTAATATGTACATAATTTTTAATATTCAAAAATTAAATTGTCCACTGAAGAAACTTAAATGTTAGGTTTTAAAAAGAAATCACTAAATATATTAAATTATGGAACATAATTTAGCTCGATAAAATTTCGACTTCGAAAAAGGAGGAGGTTATTCAATTCGATCAGTATATTTTCTTTTTTTTTTTCTTTTGCATTACAACTCTCGTAGTGCATGTTCCTCGACAGCACGGTAATGTTTATTTCCTCGATGGAAAGTTCAGCTGTTAAAAGTTCATCGTGCTCTGTCTGGAATCGAAGGAAATCGCATCGCTCGTTCCGTCATGCTAAAACTGTTCCCATCCCTTGAAACTCCTCCCGATTCACCACCCCGTGCAGTCCATTTTCCCGGGACTTGTGTCGCTACTTTCCCCACCCCCGAAAGATGTTCAAACGATCTTTGACGATTTAGTCGCACTCAAGGAAATGGAGTGCCGAGGGTGAGATCTGAAACGCTTCTCCGGTTTCGCTTTAACAAATCGCTCGGATCTCGTTGAAGAATGAATCGGGAAGGAGAAACGTGTCGGACAACAATGCGTACTTCTCGCACACGTGTGGAAGAGATCACCGACGATATAAATCACGCACGCCAGTGCCATTTTTATGAAACACTCTCGCGCAATTACGATCCGCGTTAATGCGAGGGAATACTGTAGTTTGCTAAAGTCCGGATGGACCGCTTAAAATTTTTAAAATGATAATCTACCGATACGGCGAAATTGCGATAAAACAAGCGATAACGGAAAATATTTTCAGAATAGATGTCGAGGATTTTAAAAGCACAGACTTCGAGAAAAGTATACGAAGTAATAATACGGAAACGTGAGAGACCGGAAGAGGAAAAGTGGAAGTTCTTGCGGCTTTTCGTGTGTACACATCCTTTACCAGGTTCTCCCCTTATGCAAACGTATGCACAAGTACTTGAAGCCAGCGTTTCGGATGACAATGTATACGCAGGTACACCGGTTCTAGAGAACGGATGAAATGAACGAAGTATGTATGTATTTTCAAAACCCTTGAAATTACTAAATTTTTTTTTAATAGTAGACCGATGGATTATCATTGTGAACGAATCTGGTAATGGATGTAGGTATCGATATATTTTTCAGTAGCTTAGAAGGAAAATTTTCTAAAGAGGATAAAATCGATAATCCATTCGCAAACGTCGAAGAAATAAAAGGAAAATAAAATTTATGAATTCATATATCTATCGTTAGCAATCTATTCACTGACCTAACTAAAATTGGATAACTAGAGATTCGAGGTCTGATTTGTTGAAATTCACAAACCACGGTGTGCGGAATCAATTGAATGAAGAGATAGAACCGATAAATTCCACTGTTGGAATGAAATTGAATTAGTGCTGAACTTGAATCTTTAGATTGCTATATTAATTCAACTATTTGGATCATTTGGAAAATCTTTTTTCGCTAAATATGAAATTCACAATAGATTTAAGTAAAGAGACAAATTTAGATACAATAGTTTGTAAAGACTTTAACCATGCATGGTTGGAAGCAACGAATCCTAGCGAATCCGAGGAAGTGACGAATGAAATCGTTTGCCTTAAGTGACACACATAAACGCATACACCGCAACACGGTTGGTTGCGGTGTGCGTTTCCAATTTCCAATTTCGAAACTTTAAACCGTTCCGTGGCGACGTATGAAATTCCTTGACTTTCTTTCGATTTTTCCGCCGTATGCAAATACTTTGACCCGCTCTCGATTTACTGCTACTTTCGCGCCGATATTCCCCACGAATTTCAATAAGCGATTCCCTCCATGTGTACGCATACACAGATAAGCTTGATCAATATTATAAAACGGATGTAACATGAATTATTTAGATCGGATACAAATTTTAGTCGGTTGCGTGGGGAAATATTCAATTTTTGAATTTTAATCCCCTATAAAATTAGAAAATTAGAAACTTCAAAGATTAGAAAATTTAAAAATTAGAAAATTAGAAAATTAGAAAAGTAAAATTCTAAAACTTCGAGATCCTAAAATCCTGAAACCTTAGAATTCCTTCAAATTCAAAGGGTTATTAAAAGAAAAGGCAAAACAGAGGCTCAGTTGGCAAAAGCGTTACAGAGAGTTTGTAACAATGCTGTGTGCAATTGGCACATCGACGTTCATGTGCAAAGAGGAAGGCTAACGAGCCGTGCCAGCAGTGGTACACGTTTCGTCCATTGTTGTCAGGTAAATCGACGTTCGAATCAATTCTAATATTTCTCGCTGGAATCGATTGTTATCGGTCCTGGTGGCGCGGTTTGCTGGCGGCGTCGCTTCATAATAATAGATCTCCATGATAATGAACCGGAAAAGCGTTTCGCGATGCGGCTGCCATAGTAATTCAACGGCCTGCACAGAGGAATGACTTCTAATGTTGATGCATTAGAAACGACCAAAGCAGCTGCTCGCTTCTGTTGCTCCTACCCTTTGTAATTTACACTGACAAATAATGTTTAAACCCCCTTTCGCGTCTGAACGAATAAAATTTAATAAAAGGACCGGAATTTCGTGGAATCTAAAGCAGATTTTTAGTTTATTATTTTAACATTCTACGCCAGATTTTGAAAAAAATGTCTACGAGTAGAAAGATAACACGAAGTATTCGATATCGTACCAAGGAGAAGGTCTGAAACCTTTCACTTCCATTGAATTTCAATATTTTCCAAGATCAGTTGGCAGTATTCCCTTAACACGTACGGCTGCGCTTCGCGCGTTGCATTATAATCCGTATGCAAATCTGGTGGATTCTTTCAAG